TTTTTTTTTTTGCTGTTATTTTTTACAAGGTTCATGATACCCAGAGATTCTCCAAATCATATTCAAAATATTCAACTTCACATGGAATTTCTTTTACTACTAACAGTTTGTCTTACAAGGCATTTACTCTCATTTAAAAATAATCATCTGGATTTTGTTTTCCTTGTGAACATCTGAGTAGTATGATGAAAACAGCCACCATCCAGGCATCTTCAAAGCTGAATTTTTGGCAGGTGTTGTATGGGTTTTTTCTCTTGGAGTACTTGTGGTTTGACAGTTTATAGGAGTGATAATCTCTTACATCATGCTGCCTAAGCTGTCAACCTATTTAGTAAATGTGACACGTCCCGACATTTACAGTTTTTGTTGCCTTATTTTTGTCTTTAGTGCTTTTCTTTTTAAATAATTAAATGTTAAATTCCATAAACATAAAATGTATATTTTATTTGTTTAGTTCTAAGTGTAAGATACCAAATGCCTCGAAATAAATTAAATGCAAGTAAATAGCCTTCTTAAAGATTAATTAAGATTAAATACCTTTAATTAATGAAGATAAAAGACATTGTTAGATTATTCTGGTAATATTAACCAATGAATGCTTGCGTCCACTTTAATGGAATCTGTTATGTTTTAATATAATTAAAAGTGAATTTTAAGGCTTGTGAATATAAAAACCTGTTTAAATATTATCCATACTTTTAATTAAAAGAATTTATCCTACAGGGGGGGTTTCAATATCAAATTATCCTTGACAGGCAAAGAAGACCTTTGAGTTGAGGTTCAAACCTTGATTTGAACCTCAAGGTTTCAAATGCTAATGCTTAGAACAAGGCTGAAAGAGGCAGTGCCAATTGAAAAAAAATTTTTTTTTTTAAAAGAGGGGTCAATCTAAAAAGATACATATGAAGCAAATAACACTCAAGTAGAATTTAGATATACCAATAATCATGAAGGAAGTGATGAGTGGAATTTGGGAAACAGAACAGGATGCCATAACCCAGCCTGTCATTAGATCTCCAAACTGAAGTGGTATCTCCAGGTGTGGTGGGTCATGACCTGTTGAGTTGGCTTGCCTAGTCTATCCCTTTCCCGCAATTCCCACTGACCATGCAGGGTCCCGTGCACCCCAAGGAAGGAACCTGAATTTGATACCAACTGCCATGGGATGCCACTAGAGGGTTTTAGGCAAGAGATTATAAGATCTGATTTGTTTTAGGGATCAAATGTGCTGATAAATCTGGACAGGCTCTGTAAACACTAAAGCATCATATCAGCATATTTATTACCTTGACAGAGGACAAACTGAAAGGGAGAGATGAAAATAAGGCGCATGAAAATCCAAGTAGGATAGGCCCATTTTAAATCATTCAGCCCGGAGTCTTCTCCCAGGCTCCTCTCAAGTTCCATTTGGGACTTGAGGAAGATCAGATTTGTGGGCTGTATTTGCCATATTAAGTTTTCGAGGTGCCTATTAGACGTCTATGTGGAGATGCTGAGAAAGTATTTGGATGTATCCAACTGGAGCTAAAGGGGGAAACAAGGATGGACATACAGATTTAGCATCTATCAGAATATAGTTTTGCTAAAAACAATACTTGCTAATCTTTATAGCGTGCCCACTATATTTTAGACACCATTTTAAGTGCTTTACATGTATAAATGCTCTTGGTGCTTACCACAGCCTTACCAAGCTAGAGCCCATGATTATCTCTATTTTATAAATGAAGAAACTGAGGCAAAAAGAGATTAAACTACTTGTTCAAAGACACACAGCAAGTATATGCCAGAGCTGGGATTCACATCTAAGTAATCTGACTCTAGAACTCTTTAAAGCCATGGGACTGTGTGGGATATACAAAGAGACAGCACTGAGAAAGACAAAGCCCTCAGATACAGCATTTCAAATCAAACAATTTCCTGAGTCCTGAGGGTCAAATGACTGGTGCAGTTTCAGGCTCTGCAGACACAGAAAAAAATAAAACACAGTCTTTCAAGAGGCCCAGTCTCAGATCTATGAGCTGACGACAACTATTTACTGAGCATCTACTATATGCCATACACTGGGCAAGCTTTTAAGATATATTATTCTACTTACTCCTCCCCCAACAGCACTGCCATTTTAGAAATAATGAAACTGAGGTTTAGAGAGGTTATATAATATAACCTAGCAATAATGACAGAACTAGGGTTCAATACAGGTTCATCTTACTTCAAAATCTGGTTTTCCCCAAGTAATTCGTTACATGCTACAACACGGATGAACCTTGAAGACATTGTACTAAGTTAAATAAGCCAGGCACAAAAAGACAAACAAAGCATGAGTCCACTTACATGAGGTATTTAAAGTAATCAAATTCATGGAAACAGAAAGTAGTACAATGGTGGTTACCAGGGGCTATGAGAAGGGGAAAAGAGTAGTTTAATGGCTCAAGCTTCAGATTTACAAGATGAAAAAGTTCTGAAGATCTGCTTCACAACAATGTGAATACTTACTGACTGCCCACTTAAAAATGAATAAGATGGTAAATTTTACATCATGTGTTTAAAACGCAAAGAAGAAAATTTTAACCTGGTCTTTCCAAGTATTCCACAGGCCATAAGAGAATATATTCACTGTGTCATGAGGAAATAATTTACTCTGCAATGTGGGGGAGGAAAAAGAGTGGAGCAAGGAAGAGATCAAAAAAAGTTACTAAGAAGCCACACATTTGAAACATGAAGATCCCCACTTCACTATAGTTTTGGGAAGGAACCTCAGTCTTAACCTCTAAAATAGCTCCCACACTTGTCTGTATATGACTTGATTACCATACTAATGGTGGTAATTAATGTGGTAATCAATTATTACCACAGACTATAAATGGGGCTCAAGAACATTCCAGCACCTTCTATTCGATGAGTTTCCCCAGTCTCCTTCCATTCCAAGTCATCCAGCATTGGGTACAAATTAAATGTAAAGAACTTAACTTTCTTTCATTCATTAAGTTAAAGAACTCTGGTGGCTCTCTATTGCTCTCAAAACAGAAGATTATCAAGAAAAGTGCTTAGGAGCAAATTACCTAATCTTTCTGAGCCTCAGTTTCTTCATTGGTGTCAAGAGATAAGTCCTGGCACTTGATTCAAAAGACTTGAGAATGGAAAAAAAAAAAAAGACTTGAGAATGAAATAACGACACTGTGTAACTTGCACAATGCTTGATCCAAAGTATGTACTCAATAAAGGTGAGCTGAGTTCCCTTTCTGCCCGTTCCTACATACTTAGGTCAGTAAGTCTTTGGGTTAAAGGACAGAGCAAGTATTTCCAGGATCTTAAGGCAGATAGAGAAGAATGCAAAGGGGAAAAAGTTGCTCATCTATGGCTATCTTATGGCAAGGAAAATACTGCTCACCCAGAACTGCTTCTTCATCTGTAACCCTATACAAACACATATATATATATATATATGTCCTTTTAACCATATAATATTAAAATGGCTCAAAACTAAGTTATTATGAAAAATCTCACTCTCATTCTCTCCCTCATCTACCCAATTCCCACTCCACCAATCACTTTATTAGTTTCCTGTACATACTTAAAAGTTTCTTTATTTAACAACAACAAAAAAAGTTTCTTTATGCAATAGCTGTCCTTAAGTTAAGCTAATGTTTTACAGGTGTGTTTACAAGGTACGTTCTGGGAACAAGATGAGGGAGAAGGGGAGGAGCGAGCAACCTTGGTCTTATTCATCCTGATTTACCCTAAAGCAGTGTCCTTCATTCATTAAAAAAAAAAAAACCTAATCATATAATAGGCACGTAGCATAAGCTAGGTAACAAGTACTGCATTAATATTAACTGATTACCCTTCAGCTTTTTACTATGCACCAGAAACGCATTTAACGCTTTACACAATTGTCTGATCTTCACAACGCCTTAACAGGTTGGTTACTAATTATCATCTCCATTTCACAAAAGAGGAAACTGAGGCACAGAAAGGTAAACTTGCCCAACCAAGAGACAGCAGGGTTCTGAATCCAGGCCTGACTCCGGAACCCTAGCTGTTAACCATGACGCTTTACACACGCAACACAGATACAGTCCCTGCACCCGTTGGAGCTCAGCCTAATGTAAGATACAGGCGAGAAAAGGAGTAGACAACAAAGAAATATGTAATTAGAGACTAAGAAAGTAATGTGAACGAAACGAATTCCGGGCTGAAACTAACAATGGGGACCTACTTTAGCAGGGGGGGAGGGGTTATGTCAAGGAAAGGCCTCTCCGAGAGAATGACATTTATGATGACTTGGGAACCGTTTGGTGGCTGCAATGATGACCCACCGCCCAGTTCATCGCGGAGAGACTCGCGGCCAGGAGAGGCCAAAGCAAACTCGCCCAGGGTCCCCCAGACGTGCAGACGTGGCGCAAGGAAGGGAGGATCCAGGAGCTGGGCCCAGGACTCGTACACGCCATCAGTGCCCGATGCAGCCCAGCCCGGCTCGGCCCCTACCCCGGAGCCTCTAGGCTGCCGCTGCCCACTGCCCTGCCAGGGCTGACAGCGTCGGGACAGCCTACAGAGAGGCCCCGCGACCGGCCAAGAGGGGTCAGGCCCGTACTGCGGCGGCCTGGAAAGGCCTCTTCCCCGGCCCCCCGCCAGCTCCCGCCCGGTCCACCCCGCCCCGCCCCTCCGGGCCGGCTTCATACCTGCACGGCCCGGGCCAAGCCCCGGCCGGTCAGCTGGCCCTGCCGCAGCTGCAGCAGAATGTTACCCGGCCGTGGTCGGCCGCCCCATCCGCCCCAAGCCGCCACCGTTGCCGCCGCCCGTCGCCCTCGGCCGGCCCCAGACCCAGCAGCCGCCGGCGCCGCCGCCATGTCTCCTCGTCCGACAAACAGGAAGCAAGCGGCCCCGGGGCCGCGGAGATTTCTACGGGGCGGCAGAGGGGTCGCCGCAGCGCCCCCAGTGGGCCGACGGCGGAGGCGCAGGCCGCGTGGCAGGGGCTGTGCGTGCCGCGGGGGCTGCTGGGAAATGTAGTCTTGCTCTCAGGCGGGCAGATGAGAGAGAGCGATGGGGCGTTTCTTGCGCCACTTGTCCTTCTGGCCCCTTGGTCCAGCATTTCACTGAGGTCCCTCGAGGTCGAAGACAAGTCCCTGCGTGCGCAGTCTCTCATTTCTTGCCAATTTGGGGAGGTTACAATCAAATGACTAGGAAAAGATCTTGGGTTCCAGACCAGGAATCAGGCCGCCTGTTCTGATTCCCACCTGCTTCTTTCTGCTGGGACTCGCCACGGACCTCCCTGAGCCTCATTTTCCCAAATTCATTCAGTCGGTAGTTCCTAAGAGCCTATTCAGCCAATACTTAGTTCCTTGGAGCCAGCTCTGCGCTCAGCACCGAGCGGTCCCTGGAAAAGCAGTGGTGAGCAGAGAAGATAACTAGGTCCCTGTTTTGGAATGCGAGTTACAGGGGAAGACAGCCCATCCCTACTCAGACGCACAGGAGGGTAAGTTGTGTAACTTGGTAGGTTGCTGTGAAGTTAAATGAAATAATGGAAGGGAAAATGGTTGCTAAATTGTGACATCATATTCACTGTCAGAGGAAACTTAACCTGATTTCTCCCCACCAGTATGTTCTTACTCCACTCTGAGCCCACATAATCATGGTTTTGGCAAACTTCTGTGGTAGGATCATGGCGTTTCCTTGCCTTTTTTGTTCCTGGGAGGGGGTCTTGTATTAATAACATAAATGAAAGAGGAATGCTGGGTGTGGTGCAATAAGGAATGGTGGAGATTGTAACTCATAATTTATTGCCCAGACCAGAACGTTTTTAAGAATGAAAGGGAGCTATTAACTACAACAGGACAGTAGGTATATAAAGAGGCTGTTTCTGGTAAACTGGAATTGTGGTCACCATCCTCATTCTCATCTGCAGGGAGTGGGCTCTACTCGCCTCCAGCAGGTTGCTGCTAAATTGTCTGTTTTTTTCCAGAAAGGCCAAAAGTCTGAATTTTTATGTGAAATTACCCAATTTTGAAAACTCCATGGACCAAATAAAACCCTATTTGTGACCTCTGAAACAAGGAGATCAAGATCAGATTCAGGTATACATGGAAGTTTAACGTGGTAAGGGAAACATTTCAAATCAATGGGGAAAGAAAAAAAAAAGTTAGGTGTTGAACTTTACACCAAAAGCTAAAATCAATCTCAGACATACTAAAAGCTGTATGTAAAAAAATCAAAGTACAGTTTTAAAGCTGGATTGTGCTAATGGTTATACAACCATAAGTTGGCTACAAATCATTAGACTGTACATTCAAAGTGGGTGAGTTTTATTGTATGTAAATTATAGACCTCAAATCTATGATATGTAAATTATATATGTTAAAAATCAAAGTATAAAAACAGTAGAAGTGAATCTATGGGACTACTTTTATGATTTGGGGGTAAAAATGTTCTTCTCAATCATAAAACCCAGAAGTCATGGGTTTGACATGAGGAAAAGGTTGACAAGTTTGACTGTAAGAACATTAAAGCCTTCTGTATAAGCCACTATAGTGTTAATTGCTCATTTGTGTCCAACTCTTTTCAACCCTTTGGACTGTAACCTGCCAGGCTCCTCTGTCCATGGGATTCTCCAGGCAAGAATACTGGAGTGGGTTGCCATTGCCTACTCCAGGGGATCTTCTCAACCCGGGGATTGAACTCAGGTCTCCCGCATTGCAGGCAGGTTCCTTACTGTCTGAGCCACCAAGGAAGCCCCATGAGACAGCATAAGTGAAGTCGCTCAGTCATGTCCGACTCTTTGCAACCCCATGGACTGTAGCCCACCAGGCTCCTTCCTCCATGGGATTCTCCAGGCAAGAATACTGGAGTGGGTTGCCATTTCCTTCTCCAGGGGATCTTCCTGACTCAGGGATCGAACCTGGGTCTCCTGCGCTGCAGGCAGACACTTTAACCTCTGGGCCACCAGGGAAGCCCATAAGACAGCATAAACAACCATAAAAGGCAAGGAGTATTCTGGGGAACAGTCCGTATCCAGAATGTGTGAGGAACTTACAGTGTGCTCTCAGCCAAAACTTCTCGTCCCCAGGAAGCTTTCTGAATGGCTTGCTTTCTCAAGTACTCCATGTTTCTGTTCAAGGAGAGACCTTCCCTAACATCCATATAAAAACAGCACTCGCACTCCTTACTTAGGCTCTGCATCTTATTACCTGCTTTGTTTGACCTGACATGGTTTTTCACTTTCTGCACCTCTCCCCCTGCCTCGAGGATAATTCTGGTCTTTGCTCATTGCTGCATTTATATCCCCAGCACAGAGAATAGAACTTCACACATAGTAGGTGATCAAATATGTTTATTGGCTCAGTAAATTAATGAACAGATGCGTTAACACCTACAAAAATCAAGGAAAACCAAACAACTCAATAGGTATGGTGGACTATACTCTCATCTTTGTCACAGCTGGGAGACAGGATCCTGACAGATCTTACAGTTCAAATGGCCCTTCAGGTTTCCCTTGGCACTCATCATGCTGGAGGCAAGTCTTCCCATCTCAGCTGTGACCCAACCACAAATGTCACTGTCCATTCCTAAATTTGTACGTTCCTCAGCCCAGCCTGGCCCAGGCATTCCCCAAATGTGTCTATTCACGGAGTCAAAAATGATCACTTCAAGTTCAGTCCCAAGGTCACTACCAACTAGGAAATGAGATAGGTTTCCAGAAAGTGAAAGTGAAGTCATCAGTGGTGTTCAACTCTTTGCGAACCCCGTGAACTGTAGCCTACCAGGCTCCTTAGTCTATGGACATTTTCCAGGCAAGAGTACTGGAGTGTGTTGCCATTTCCTCCTCCAGGGGAATCTTCCCAACCCCGAGATTGAACCCCCAGGTTTCCAGAAGCCTCTGGGTAAAGGCACTCGTTCCACTTCATCTCTTTTCTGCTGGCCTTTTCTATAGAAACCAGACAGGTGGCTTTCACCACCAGAGGGCCCCACCACCCCACCAGAGGGGCTTTCACCACCCCTCCCAAAAGAGCCCAGTTGATGTCAATTTGGGTCAGGGTTAAAAAACTGAAGCTTTTTAATAGGTTAATTTGCCCACACACACATTAATCCCAAATGGTTGAACCAAACATGCTGATACTACTCAGAGACTATCACTTCTTGTAAATGAATTACTCAACTGGGCAGATGGATTTTCTGGGGCAATTTTTTAAATTTTTCAACATAGAAAAGTCATTTTAATCAAAGCAACTGGCACGGTTATATTCAGACCATAGAAACAGCTGTTCATATATCATCCTTCGCTGTTATTTCCAATGATTATATTTTACACATTACATTTCTAATGTACAACTTTTCAAGGATTTGTTTCAAAAATGTTTGCTGGGTACGGTTTCACTTGCCAGGCACTATTATAGGTGCTTGGGATACAGTGGTAAATAAAAGAAACAAAGTCTCTGCCCTTATGGAGCTTATATGCTTATGTAAGACACACCCTTTTCTTTTTCGGGGGTGGGGGGTGGTGGGCATTTACCATTGGCCAAGCAGTTTATTTGCAGTATTTTATTTTCCCTCCAGTTTTGGGGGGGGGAAATTTTCAAATCTTCAGAAAAGTTGAAAGAATAATACTATGAATACTCAGATATCCTTGCTTAAACTCATCAATTGTTAACATTATTTTATCTTTATTTTTCTCTATCTGCTATATATATATACACACACACATATACACATCACACTTGTCCCAAACCATTTGAAAGTAAATTACAGATATCATGATACTACATCTCAATACTTTAGCATATTATCTCCCAAGAATATGGACCTGCTTCTAATAACTATGACGCCATCACATCTAAGAAATTTAATGTTGTATAATATCACCTTCTATTCAATTGTCTGCAATTGCCCCCAAGATGTCCTATAGGCTCTCCCCCCACCCAACAGGATTCAATCAAGGATCATGCCTTGTTTTTGAATATCATGTCTCTTTAGTGTCTTTTAATATCTAAGAGTCCTCTTATTTGTTCTGTCTTCATGACACTGACAGTTTTTAAGGGTCTGGGCCAATTTTGCTGAATGCCCTACTATCTGGATTTCTTGATTAGGGTTCAGATTTTCTAGCAAGAATACTATATAGTTGATGGTATCTTTCCCACTGCTTCACATCAGGATGAAATAATATAAATTTATCCCATTATTAATGATGCCAAGGTCGATCTCTTGGCCTAAGTGGTATTTGCCAAGTGTCTTATTGGAAAGGTAGATTTTTTTACCTTTGTAATTAGTAAGTAATATGTGGCCTTAAGACTGAAGCTATCTTGTTCCCCCCACCAACTTATTGTTTTAATTGCTAAGTCATGTCTGACTCTTTTGAGACTCCGTGGATTGTAGCCTGCCAGGCTCCTCTGTCCATGGGATTTCCCAGGCAAGAATACTGGAGTGGGTTGCCATTTTCTCCCCCAGGGGATCTTTGCAACCTAGGGATCGAACCCACATCTCCTGCATTGGCAGGTGGATTCTCTACCACTGAGCCACCTGGGAAGCCCAACCTTTTCTCTAGGATGATAGTAATTAACCTTTCCTCTGTTGTCAAATGGCAACCTACTCCATTATTCTTGCTTGGAGAGTTCCATGGACAGGGGAGCCTGGTGGGCTGCAGTCCATGGGGTTGCAAAGAGTCATACACAACGGAGCCAGTAACACACACATACATATAATGATTCCCATCATTCTTCCAAAGAGTCTGACACAACTGAGTCACACACACACACACACACACACACACACACACACACACAGCCCACCCCACCCCACCCTGTTTCCCACCATTCTTCCACATCCCCTCCATGTTCCAGGCAGACTCGGATCCTTAGAGACCTCCTGTCCTACTAAGGATGAGAAGACCCAACTCCTGCAAATCCCACATTTTCTTTAAGACTGAGTTCCTACTCTTTTCAGAACTCCGGAAGCATTTCTGGTCAGACTCTCACAACCTAACCCTTGCTCACCAACATTTTTACTATTGTTCTATACTTAGTTCTCGTGGTTTCTTTCAACTTCCTGGTAGGCTGCATCTGACAGAAGGATAAAGTAACAAGATTACTTCCCCTCCTCCTAACATACATATAGTTCAAAAGACATTCAAAACCTTATTTCCTGCAATTGTATAATTATCCCTTTTTGAAACTCCTTTTTGGAAAGAATTTTTTTAAAAAAGGTCTCTTTTGGAAAGAAAGAAAAAAATCTAAGTAAAAACCACTGCCTCTGAGTCTTTCCTGTAATTCTTGGGAACTTCTTGACAGGCGAAAAATTTGACTTCTCTGGTGAATTCGAGTCTCAAAAACAGCCCAAAGTCCTTGAGTGAAACGATGAGTAGTGGATGATTAATACCATTTTTTTCTGTTCTTTAAAGAACAGAAAAATTATTTTAATTTGGAATAATTTTAGATTTACAAGAGTTCCAAGAATAGTACAAATAGTTCCCTTACACCCATATCTCATCTTTCTCCAATATTTACATCTTACATAACCATCATTTTTCTGTTTGTTTTTTTAAAGCTTCAGTACAAGGAAAAGAAGTCCCAGGTTGACTGTTGTGCTGCAATCCTAGAAAGCAGTCAATCAAATTAGAAGAGCCCCTATGAAGAAAACAGAATCGATTCTCACCAGGAATTAGTGTCAAAAATTGAAAGATTCTTCAGCATTCAGAAACTCATAAGAGGATATAATTACAATTTTATGCCTAGACATTTGAAAATTTAGATGGAATAGAATTTCTAGGAAAAAAAAAATCTATACCTAAATGGACACAAGAAGTAATAGAAAATCGGAATAATCCCATAACTATTAAAGAAATTGAATCTATAATTTAAAAACCTTACCCTACACACACACGAAAACTTCAGTCCCAAATGGCTATGAAATCTACCAACCTTTTAAGGAAGAAATAATACCAGTAATATATAATTTCTTCCAAAAGCCAGATAAAGAACTAATATTCCCTGACTGTTATTGTGAGGCCAGCATAACACTAATACCAACAATAACAGATAAGAGGCAATGAAAATCTCTAATTTTATTTCATTTAATCTGAGCTGCTTTCATTAATAAGGTTTCATCGATTTGTTGCAACAATGATGGGGACATCGAATACCCTGGTTCTGAAACATGAGCTTACACCAGAACCACCTGGCCAAGTTGAACATGCAAAATTGCTTCAGTTGTGTCTACTTCTTGGTGACCCTGTGGACTGTAGCCTACCAGGCTCCTCTGTCCATGGGGGGCACCTTCCCAGCCCAGGGGTCAAACCCGGATCTCCCGCATTGGAGGCAGACGCTTTAACCTCTGAGCCACCAGGGAAGCCCAGGATCTTCCCTAATCAGGGATCCAACTCTTACCTCTCCTGTATTGGTAGGCAAGTTCTTTACCACTAACGCCACCTGGGAATCAGCTGGAAGGCTTGTTAAAACACATACTGCTGGCCCTCTCTTTTCTGAATCAGAAGTTCTGGGGTGGAGCCCATGGGTTTGCGTTTGTAACAAGTTCTCTGGTGACGCTGCTGCTTCTGCACCAGGGGCCACACTTGAAAACCATGGAACCAGTGGCAAGTATTAGGTTGGTACAGAAGTAATTGCAGTTTCAGACCATGAATTTTAAATCATTATAACAAGGATCAGCTTCAATGATTGCTGTCAGTTGGTCGTTCTCAATTTCCAACAACTGGCCACCACGCTTCTCAGCTTTAAGGCTCTTGTCTCCTTTGCAAAACTTCTTGAACCACCACTGCACTGTACAGTTGTTAGCAGTTTCTGGGCCAAATTCATTGTTGATGTAGCAAGTTTTCTCCACTGCTTTATGACCCATTTTGAACAAGAATAAAAAAGATCGCTCAAATTTGCTTTTTGTCTAACATCATTTCTATAATCCAAAATAAATATAAAATAAACAGCAAGTAATGTCATTAGCAAAAAAAATAAAGTGAAATGCAATTAAAATTATGTATAACATAACCACATTTAAGAATGTATTCTAATACCAAACAGCAAAGTTCAACAGTGCAAAACCGCAATTACCTTTGCACCAACCTAATACATTGAAAGTTTGCTTGCCATTGCAATAATATCATTTGAAATGCTTGGATAGGCTTGAAATGTTGGACTGGGTTTCCCAAGAACTTTCTAATTTAATTCACTAAGAACGTTAAAAAATATATCAGTCAAATAGGCCAACATTGTTATTCCAAAAAAACAACTTTGAAGAGATTTTCCAAATGAGATTGCTTTTTGGCTAGAAAAATAGGCATTTTATTCTTGTATTCTTGTAATGTGCTTTGGACTTTCCCTTAAGACCACCAACTAACTCTGATATGATAAAATAAGTGGTAGGTCACCTCTAATCCCTGAAGAATTTTTTTTCCAAAAATTGGCTATTTTGTTGACTTCCTTTAATAAAATGAATAACTTCCACTGTTTCTGCCCAACATACACATGAATTTCAGCAAAATTTGTTTTCCAAAGATTTACAACCTATAAGAGTATGCCAAATAACATTGTTTTCAGATGCTGCTAACATTTTAAAAATACCTTTGTCATATTTTAACTTTTCCAGACTAATTTATATTGACCCAAATTGCACTTGTCAATTTTGTAAACATTTTTAATCCAGTTTTGTGTGAGGAGAATAACTAAATACATAACAAGACCCTCCTTAAAATGGCCTTACCACTCATCTCAGTCATAAACTAAGCATTGTGCAATATCCAACTCGTCTTTCTCAAGTTGGATCACAAAATTGATACCATAATTAACTACTTCTAAAATTCTGCAAAGATTCAAGGAGAAATCATATTATTGCTAAGACTATGTTTATTGATTTACCATAAAAACAGTACACACCAAAAAATATACCAGAAGACTAAAAACCTTTAGCACAGGGAAGGAAAGCATCAACAAAATGAAAAGGCTACCTACTGAGTGGGAGAAGGTATTTGCAAATTTCATATCCAGTAAGAGGTTAATATCCAAAAGAGACAAAGAATTTATACAACTTAACATAAAAAACAAAACAAAACAAACAAACAAAAAACAAAACAAAACCTAAGTAACCCAATTAAAAAAACAGGCAGAAGATCCAAATAGACATTTTTCCAAAGAAGACATACAGATGGCCAACAGGCACATGAAAAGATGCTCAACATCACTGATCAACAGGGAAACACAAATCAAAACCACAATGAGATATCACCTCTCACCTGTCAGATGGCTATTATCAAAAAGACAACAGATAACAAACGTAGGTGAAGATGTGGAGAAAAAAGAACCCTGTTGCACTACTGGTGGAAATGTGAGCTGGTGCAGCCACTATGGAAAACAGTATAGAGATTCCTCAAAAAAGTTAAAAATAGAACTACTATACAATTCAGCAATTTCACTCCTGGGCATTTATCCAAAGAAAATAAAAACACTAATTAAAAAAGATATGCACTCCTGTGGTCACTGCAGCATTATTTACAACAGCCAAGATATGGAAGCAACCTAAGTGCCCATCAATAGCTGAATGGATAGAGTATGTGGTATAAATATATATTAGCAGACCCTGGTGGCTCAGAGGATAAAGCGTCTGCCTGCAATGCGGGAGACCCAGGTTCGATCCCTGGGTGGGGAAGATCTGGAGAAGGAAATGGCAACCCACTCCAGTATTCTTGCCTGGAGAATCCCATAGACAGAGGAGCCTGGCGGGCTACAGTTCATGGGGTTGCAAAGAGTCGGACATGGCTGAGCAATATTTGCAAAAATAGACATTCTTCCAAAGAAGACATACAGATGGCCAACAGGCACATGAAAAGATGCTCAACATCACTGATCAACAGGGAAATGCAAATCAAAACCACAGTGAGATATCACCTCTCACCTGTCAGATGGCTATTATCAAAAAGACAACAGATAACAAATGTAGGTGAAGATGTGGTGAAAAGAGAACCCTGTTGCACTACTGGTGGAAATGTGAGTTGGTGCAGCCACTATGGAAAACAGTATAGATACCATATAATTATGGTATCAATTTCCCAAATATATATTACTCAGTCACAAAAAAGGATGAAATATTGCCATTTGTGACAACTTGGATGAACCTAGAAGGTATTATGCTAAGTGAAGTAAGTCAGAGAAAGAAAAATGCTCTATGATTTTACTTATATGTGGAATCTAAAAACCAAAACAAAAGAACATAACAAAACAGAAACAGTGATAGATATGGAGAACAAACAGGTGGTTGCAGACTCAGGGGTGGGGGGAGGAAAGAGATGAAGGAGATTAAGAGTTACAGAATTCAAGTTACAAAAGAAATGAGTCAAGGGTATGAAAATGTCCAGTGTGGGGAATATAGTCAATAATTATGGGGACTTCCCCAGCAGTCCAGTGGTTAAGACCTTGTGCTTCAAATGCAGGAGACACAGGTTCAATCCCTGGTCCAGGAACTAAGAGCCCGCATGCTGTGCAGCAAGGCCAAAATAAGTTCTTTAATAAAATAAATAATTATGTAATGTCTCTTACAGGGACAGACTGTAACTAGACTTATTGAGGTAATCATTTTGCAATGTCTAAAAATATCGAATTACTATGTTGTGTAACAGAAACTAACACAGTGTACACAGGTCAGTTGTACTTCAAAAAGAAACTCAGAAAAAGAGATCAGATTTATGGTTACTAGAGGCAGGGGGAGGGGACTAGGAATTGGATGAAAGTAGTCAAGAGGTATAAACTTTCAGTTATAAGATAAATAGATACTAGGGATGTAATGTACAACATAATAAATATAATACTGCTATATATATGAAAGTTAAGAGAATAAATCATAAGAGTTCTCATCATGAGGAAATATTTTTTTCTATTTAATTTTGTATCTATATGAGATGATGGATGTTCTTCATTTCATAATGTTATGTAAATCAAATCATTATTTACATGTGTGTCAATTTATATCTCAATAAAACTGGAAGAAAAACAAAAGCAAAATATGTATATACCAGAAGAACAGTTTCTTATTTTTTCAGGAGCCTTGTGAGCAGTTTTCCCTTTTGGCACCGAATATACAATCCAATACAATGATAATAAGGATTTCTCATTGATAGCTACATCATGGCTCAGAAAAATCTGTCCCATCATATTATATATACTTTTCTTTTTTTGAAAATATTCAAGGGACTGATTCAGCATGTCATGTTTCCAAGTATCTTTTTAATATTGCTGGCTTATTGATGCTTTCATTGGCAAGAGTATCATTACAAATAATGCATTAGTATATGTCACTTTTGGTTTTGTACATTTGATAAAGTCTTTTAAAACACTGTCTTACTAAACTTATCCTTTTTTTTTTTTTTGGCTGTGCTGGGTCTTCCTTGAAGTGTGGGCTTTTCTCTAGCTGCAGAGAGTGGGGGCTACTCTCTAGATGCGGTGAAAGGGCTTCTTATTGCAGTGGCTTCTCTTGTGGAAGCACCGGCTCTAGGGCGTGCGGGCTTCAGTGGTTGTGGCGCAAGGGCTCAGTAGTTGCAGCTTCCCGGCTCCAGAGCACAGGATCAATAGTTGTGGCACACAGATTTAGTTGCTCCAAGGCATGTGGGATCTTCTCAGACCAGGGATCCAACACACGTCTCCTGCACTGGCAAGTGGATTGTTTACCACTGAGCCACCACGGAAGTCCCTACCCTTTCTTCTTGCTGCTGCTGCTGCTGCTGTCACTGCAGTCGTGTCCAACTCTATGCGACCCCATAGACCGCAGCCCCCCAGGCTCTGCTATCCCTGGGATTCTCCAGGCAAGAATACTGGAGTGGGTTGCCATTTCCTTCTCCAATCCGTTCTTCTTAATGAGGCACAAATAAAGCCATTGTCTGCTAACTAATGTTAAGTACTTCCCCCAATATCACTATTCATTCTTCCCATATTTTCACCTTCTCATTCTCAATTTTTGTAGCATGAAAACAGTCCATTTAAGGACAATTTGAACTATTTCAATAAAAATGCTACATTTTTCACACGTTCAAGATATTCCTGATTATGAACCGTCTGAAAAAACCACACTGCAAATTCCTAACAAAAACTCAGTTGCAAGTCATGGCAATGTTGCCAAAAATGAATAAAATTCTCCCACACTTTCATTCATAACTAACTTCAAATTAGTTTGTGGTATCTTGTCATAGCAGCCCAAACAGACTAAGACACCATGTCCTAGTGGGCATGAAGTGGTATCTCATTGTGGTTTTGATTTGCATTTCCTTAACGACTAATGATATTAAATATCTTTTCATGTGCTTGTTGGCCATCTGTATACTTCTTGGAGAAATGTCTATCTCCTTTGCCCAGTTTTTTTATTTCATTGTCTTTAATGTTGAGTTTTAAAAGTTCTTTATATATTCCGGATATGAAACCCTCACCAGCTATTTGATTTGCAAATATTTTCTCCCATTCTGTAGGCTGTCTTTTCATTTTAGTTATAGTGTCCTTTGAAGCACAAAGTTTTTAATTTTTAGAAAATCCAATTTATCTGTTTTTCTTTGTTTACATGTGCTTTAAGGTGTCTTCTAAGAAGCCACTGCCTAATCCAAGGTCACAAAAATTTATGTTTTCTCCAAAGAATTTTATAGTTTTAACTCCTATTTAGGTCTTTGATTCATAGAGTTTGTTTTTTATATGGTGTTAAATAGTGGTACAAAATATTTCTTATGCAAGTAGATATCTAGTTGTGCCAGCATAATTTGTTAAAAATGTTCCCCATTGGATTGCCTTGGCACCTTTTTCAAAAATCAATTGACCATGAAGGTTTATTTCTGCATTCTCAGTTCTATTCCATTAATTTGTATGTCTACCCTTATGCCAGCACCACACTTTCTGGATTATTGTCTCTTTGTAGTAAGTTTTAAAATCATTATGAGTGAATCCTCCAGCTTTGTTCTTTTTTAAGATTGTATTGACTATTCCGGGTCCCTTGCCTTTCTATATGACTTTTAAGATCAGCTTGTCCAATTCTCTAAAAAAGGCAACAGAGTTTTGATAGAGATTCCATTGAATCTGTAGACTAATTTTGGTACAAATGCCACCTTAACAATATTATGTCTTTTAACCCATGAAGATGGAAATATTTTCCCATTTACTTAGGTCTTGAAACGTTTAACAATGTTTTATAGTTTTCAGTGTACAAATCTTCTTGTATTTTTGTTAAATTTACTCCCAAATAATTTATTCTCTTTTATGCTGTTATAAGTGGAAATGTTTAATTTCATTTCTATATTGTTAATTGCAAATGTACAGAAGTAAATCGATTTTTGTATATTGATTTTATATCCTGCAACCTTGTTAATCTAATGTTTTTCTCTTATTTGGGAGAGGTATAAAAAGAACGATTAACTTTAGACTTTAAATTAAAAACATGTACCAGTTGGAATGGTCTCTAGATATAACAATCAGGCACCTGACAGGAAACATACAGCTCACTCAAATTAGAAAGATGAGAGGAGGGTTTAGTAAAAAGACTATTTACAAAGGTATATTACATATATATTTATATGTGTATATATATACACACACATATATATACATATGTATATGTGTATATATATACACACATATATATATACACATGTATATATATATATATATATATATATATATACACGTGTATATACACACACACACATACATATATTACAAAGGGCAGAGTATAAGAGAACTTCAAGGGATAGTGTAGTAATCTGGGGCTAGTACTAGCATAGCCATTACCATACCTAGCCTGCAAGAATAAGGGAATGGAAAAGTTACCATCGCCTGAAAAGAAGTTGAGAGAAATAGTGACCTTCAATTGAGAGACTAGCTAGCCTGAAGCACCCCCGCTGGAAGAAAGCCATGGGAATAAATATCATGACCTCATTCAACTTCCTTTCCCCAATCTACTGCCCAGACACCCCACTAACTGAACCCAAGTAGAAGCCAGGGAAAGAGTGAACCTATTGGTATAGTTTATACAGGACCACAAGAGTAGAGAACAATCCACCCTCATGGGGGAGAGAAGATGGAGAGGACATCCAGAGGAGCAAATGGAAGATACCCTCACACAAGCTTATGCCACAGTGATAGACCACCTCATCAGAATCACTCAAAGAAAGTATGAGGAAAAAAATAATAAAAAATACTGAATCACTATGTTGTACACTTGAAACTAGTATCATACTGGAAATTACATTTCAATAAAAAATAAAGTACCTGGTTAGTAATAAAATGTGAAAGAATTTTTAAAAAAGAAAATAATAAAAGTCAACATTAGGATAGTAGAAAATAAACATAACAATTGACAGTAACAACCAAGTCAAAAGTCTGTTCTTGAAAAGTAAATAATAAAATTTAAAATCTCTGGCAAGACTAATCAAGGCATAGGTAAGTAGTATTAGGGATAAGAAAGAACAACTTTGTGCTAATAAATTCCTGAAAAATACAATTTTCTTTGGTGATCACTTTGTGATGTATAAAAATATCAAATCATTATGTGGTACTCCTAAAAATATTAAATCACTCTGTTGTACACCTAAATAGTATAATATTATGTCAATTATATTTTAATTTAAAAAATGCCACCCTGTAAATTGGGGAAGAGAATAGGATTTAGGAAAGGACTTTCCTTCTTCTCTCTGGTTTAGAATCCAGTATGTTGTCTGATGATCAAGGGTATCCCAGAGTGTGGGGTGAGTTAGCCTTAGCCACAGAGAAGCTCTGAAAAATGAGTGGGGTGGGTTGTGGTTCTATGAGCAGCCATAGTTAATTGTAGTTATTAGTTTCTAGATGCTGTCATTTCCCCAACTTTCAGTCAGATCTTATTAAAAGTTCATACACCGTGATGAAGTGGAATTTATCCCAGAAATATCCATAAATCAGTGTGATACACATATTAACAAATTGAAAAATAGAACCATATGATGATCTCAATAGATACATGAAAAGTGTTTGACAAAATTCAACACCTATCTGGCTGCTCTCACTCTCTAAGACGGCCCACAATCTGTCTGTGGGGTGTGTTTCTCCCAGGTCTTCTCCCACCTTTTGAGATGGACTGTATCCTATCTATAGAGTGTGTATCTCTTTCACTTTATGGTTCACTCTTGAATTCTTTCCTGTGTGAAGCCAAGGACCTCACTTGGTGGCCTGTTCCAGGAATTTACCTGAGACCTAGGACATGACCACTCTCTTGTGCATCATTTTCCTGAAACATCTTTACAAAGGAAGAGGAATAAGGTGGTCTTCTCCCCCTCCCCACTTCTCCTTAGATTATAAAAATGTGGCCCACTTAGTTCTTGGGGTAGAGCCCTCTTGCCTATCTGTATCCTTCATAGGGTCCTGTATTAATAAGTCCATTTCCTGCCTATCAAAAAAAATTCAACATCCACTCATGACAAAGACTCTTAACAAAGTGGGTATAGATAGAACATATCTCAACATAATAAAGGCTATATATGACAAATCTACCATCAATATCATATTCAATGATGAAAAGCTGAAAGCATTTCCTCTAAGATAAGGAAAAAGGCAAGGATGCCCACTCTCGCCACTTTTATTCAACATAGTATCAGAAGTTCTAGCCACAGCAATCAGACAACCAAACAAAAGGAATACAAGTTGGAAAAGAAGTAAACCTGTCACCGTCCACTGATGACATGATATAGAATCTATTTATAGAAAATTATAAAGACACGACCAAAAAACTATTAGAAATAATAAATGAACTTTATCATATCATATAAACATAAGACTAGAACCATAAAGCTCCTAGAAGAAAACATAGTATGCTCTTTGATATTGGTTTTAACAATATTTTTTTGGATATGTCTCAGGCAAGGGAAACAAAAGCAAAAAAAAACAAATGGGATTACATCAAACTAAAAAGCTTTTGTACAAAGAAGGAAACTATCAACAAAATGAAAAGGCTGTCTACTGAATGGGAAAAGATATTTGCAAACAATATATATGATAAGGGATTAATTATCCAACATCAACTCAACATCAAGAAAACAAACAACCCAATTAAAAGATGGACAGAAGATATGAATAGGCATTTTTCTAAAGAAGACATATAGATAACACACAAACACATGAAAAGATGCTCAGCATCACTAATCATCAGGAAATGCAAACCAAACCCAATGAGATATTCCCTCATACCTGTCAGAATGGCTATCATCAAAAAGACAACAAATAAATGTGGGCAAGGATGTGAAGAAAAGGAAACCCCTGTGTACTGTTAGTGGGAATGTAAATTGATGTAGCAACTATGGAAAACAGTATGAAAGATTTCTCAAAAAATTCAAAATAGAACTCCCTTAAGATCTAGCAATTCCATTTCTGGGTATTTATTTGAAGAAAACAAAAATGCTAATTTGAAAAGATATATACATGCTGATATGCATGCCTATATTCAATGCAGCATTACTTAGGATAGTCAAGATACAGAAGCAACCTAAATGTCCATCAAGAGACGAATGGATAAAGAAGATATGGGGGGGGTGTGTATGGATGTATATATGTGTGTGTGTATGGATGTATATATGTGTGTGTGTGTGTGTATATATATATATATATATGAATATTAGTCACACAAAAGAATGAAATCTTGCCCTTTGTAAAAATATGAATGGACCTAGACAGTATTATGCTAAATGAAATAAGTCAGAAAAAGACAAATATAAAAAAGAAAAAGAAAAATACCATATGATTTCACTTATATGTGGAACCTAAAAGACAAAAGAAATGAACAAATAAAACAGAAACAGACTCATAGATACAGAGAACAAATTGGTGGTTGCCATGGGGGAGGTTGGGGGGGGGAGACTAAAATAGATGACAGAAATTAAGAGGTACAAAATTCCAGTTATAAGATAAGTGAGTCATGGGGATGTAATATACAGCACAAGGAATATAGTCAATAATACTGTAATAACTTAGTATGGTGACAGATGGTAACTAGGCTTTTTGTGGTGGTCATTTTGTAATGTGTAAAAGTATCTATTTACTATATTCTACATACAGTATAGTTCTTATATAGTTCTATATAAGCCCTATGGAATTTATATAATATTGTAAGTCAGCTATACTTCAATTAAAAAATAAAATATGAAAATCTCTCCCCTTGCCCCCCCCAAAAAGGACTAACAAATACATTTACAACACTCTCCAGAAAATGGGAACCTTGAAAGGAAGGGAGATTCAAGTATCAAGCCCTGGGGTCTTTGAAGCCAGCTACCTTTATGTTCAGCTATTTCTCCAACTGTAAAAGAAAAACTAGATTTGCAATTGTTTTTAGTTGTGCACCCTACCTTTGAATGAAATCTCATGAAACAACCCAATTTGTAAAATAGAAAACCATGATCATCAAAAGCAGATTTATTGTTACAGTTTAGTTTCAAAAACAAAATATCATCCAGTGGTTATGAGGAATCTAGGAAAACCTGTCCCAGTAATGCCAGCTTCGAGGTAAAAGGCTGACTAGGGCAGCTGAGAAGTGGGATTTGCCGTCTGGCAGGCTTCTTTTCCCTTGCCCGCTCATGGTTTTCAGGGGAGGAGAATGTTCCAGGCCCTCCTGGGGGTTCCCATGGCCCGGAGCTCATAGTTTTCTTCTGAAATCTCGACCTTTTCCGTTTGAGAGAGTAGAATTCCCTCATCAAATCTTCCACTTCCCACTGTTCCTCCTTCAGCCTCCGGCAACAGTGCAGGGCAGCGGGGTCGATGGGGTGTGCTTCTGTGTTGAAGATATAACCCCCGGCCCCCAAGACGCACTCCCCATAGGGGGTGATCACTGCATCGAAGGTGGAGCCGTTGTTGTGGATAAAGTTGGTCGGATCAAACAGCAGATAGAGGTATTTCACAGTCTCGGCCAGGAAGAAAGACTCCATGCGGTTGTCAAGCTTGTGGTCCCGCAGATCTTTGATCTGCCACGTGGAAGAGGAAAGTAAGTCAGATTAGCATCAGAGCAGGAAAAGGGTCGGGGGACCCCGTCAGGCCTTCCTGCCACTAGGCGGCTATGGGTCTTTGAGCAAATCACTTAACGTCATCTCTCACCAAGCTTATCACAATTTTCAACTGGGCTTCCTTCTTCCATTCTTACCCTAAAGGATTTGTTTTAGTTGCTAAGTTGTATCCTACTCTTTGTGACCCCATGGACTGTAGCCTGCCAGGCTCCTCTGTCCATGATATTTCCCAGGCAAGAATACTGGAGTGCCATTTCCTTCTCCAGGGGATCTTCCCAACTCATGGATTGAACCTGTATCTCCTGCTTGGCAGGCGGATTCTTTACCACTGAACCACCTGGGAAACGCTATGCTCAAGGATATTTTTATCTTAAGTCTTACCTGTCACTCCTCTGTGGAAAACCCTCTGTTAACATCTCATTTCCTGCCAACTAAAATCAAAGTCCTCATCATGGCCTAACAGGTGTTTGCTGATCGGGCTCCTGCTCCCTTGCTGACCTCATCTTTTTCCTGCTTTCTCTGTAGCTCTCGTAGGTCCAGCCACTAAGCTTTTCTATTCTGTGAACAAGCTCATGCCCGGCCTGGTTCTTTTCAGTGGTGTTCTTGAAGCCTGGAGCCATCTTCCTTCAGATATCTTCCCCCTCCTTCACTTCCTGCAGGTCTCTGTTCAAATGCTGCCTCATCAGAATGGTCTTTCTTGGTCCCCCTACATGATACAACAATATTCTAGCCCTTTATCCTACCCTTTTGTGACTCCAAACATTGATCTAATGTTTACATCTCTTAATGATGTAAAAATGTAGCATCATTTACTTATTAGACATTAAGATGGTTATAAAGTTTTTTGCTCTTGTACACAACTGATTAGGAGTCTTTACAAAGAAAAATTCTTACTGAGTTTATAGTTGGGGATGAATAGGTTTACTTGCTACAAACATTTAGTTTCTAAAATAAATATTTATTTTAGAATTAGCAATACATTTTCTTAGACAAAACTAGTTCTCAGTACACATCTATTTTATACCCAAAAAATGTGACTAAAATATGGACTTGATATACCAGGAATTATTATTCTTTTGTCCTATTTGCCAAAGGCCAAGGAGTCAGATGCCTTTTCCCATCATTCGCCTTGGCAGGGCTCCAAAAGACTTCATTTTCATGGAAATAAATCAAGAGTTCTAAGGCCCCACTGAGCTCATCCACTTTGGCTTTTCACAAAATACAACATACTAGAAATTAAAGCACATCGTTGCTTTATATTTCTCCTACACATACAGGTCTTTCCTTTAAAAAATATGCATCTATGTTTTACTCATACAATATAATCACATTACAACTTTTTGAAAAGGAAGAGTTTTTTTGATTTGTTTTTAATTCCATACCCTAAAAAGCCTCTGTAGGCTTTTTGGTGAATTTCCTTCCAGACTGTTTGCTTTCACATCTTGTTTTTACATGTCTGTAACCACTGTTTATTTCGATCTTGCCTGCTTGGGTCCTCTAAGGATGTGATATGGCTCTCCTCCTTGACCCTTTCAATCCATTCTCCACAGAGGGGCCAGAGTGATCTTTCTAAAATACAGCACGTCACTGCTCTGCTGTAAATCCTACCAAGGCTTCTCGTTCCCAGCAGAATGAAATCCCAGCTCTTCCTCGTGGCTAATACAAAGCTCCATGTGATCTAGCCCCTGCCTACTTCTGGGGATGTATCTTCTCCCGCTTTCCCCTGTGCTCACCCACATCCAGCCACAATGGCCTCCTTTCTGTCTCCTAGATATACATTCACTGTTTTTTCTACTAAAATGTCAGCTCAGGGGCTTGGTCTTTCTTCATCCTCAGTCTAGCACAGCACCTGGCCCGTGAAAGACACTCAGTAAATATCTGCGAGACCAGTAGGGCTGTTTCATTAAGGATCCTTGGGTTTGCAAATAAGGCTTATTGTTGTTCTTTTTCAGTCCTAAGTCGTATCCAACTCTTTTGCAACCCCATGGACTGTAGCCAGTCAGGCCCCTCTGTCCATGGGATTCTCCAGGCAAGAATACTGGGTTGTCTAGGGATTGAACCCACATCTCCTATTTGGCAAAGGGATTCTTTACTACTGAGCCACCAGGGAAGCCCGCAAACAAAGCTGTGTGCGTGTGTGTGCATGCGTGATTAGCTGCTCCATCATGTCCAATTCTTTGTGACCCCATGGACTGCAAGCAGCCAGACTCCTCTGTCCATGGGAATTTTTCCAGGCAAGAAGACAGGAGTGGGTTGCTAATTTCTCCTTCAAGGGATCTTCCTGACCCAGGAATCAAACCCGCATCTCCTGTGTCTTCTGCATTGCAGGTGGATTCTTTACTGCTGAGCCATCAGGCTTCCCTGAAAATAAGGCTATGGGACTGTAATTTCCTTCTAAAATCCATTTTGTAGGCCTTTTCACAAAATGTTTCACAAAACACTTCTTTGCAAAGTAACCTATTCAGACAGCTAGACTTCAGAGATGAAGTAGGGAGAAGGCCAAGGGCATGGAGTCTAGACCCCTGGGAACGAATCCTAGCTCCACCTCTACCTGCTTTGTGACCTTTAGACAGGCTCAGCTTCTGTTCCTCAGCCTCCCGGTCTATAAAATAAAGACACTACTTACACCTTTGAGTCCTTCCAGTGTTAATATTCCAGAGGCTCTTTAGCAGCAGGGGGAGACATTTCCCAATTCTTGGGCCCATGGAAACACTTACTGTGGCAAATCCACACTCCACCTTGCTGATTTTCTCGATGGATTCCACAGCATCTCTCCCGAGTTCTAAGAGGGTGGGATCCCCCGTGGCACGGTAGAGGTACATGGCACTCTCAATGAGTTCTGCAAAGTTCAAAGTGGACCCTTCTCATCCAGTGGCTGGGCAGGGAAGGCTGGGAGCCTGCCTGGAGCAGCGAGAGACTCCTCCCCTCCTTACTGTGTCCACAGGGTCCCAGCAACAAGGAACAGGGGGCAACTCCCTTGAATTGAATCTTCAGAGCCAATCCACCCACAATCTGGAGACCAGCATTAAAATGGACCATGGATTCTCATCCCAAGGGAGAGACGGGCAGCCAGGTTCTGGGATGGGGAAGGGGACAGAGGCTGCTGCCCACCTCCCAATATCTGTTCCCTCCTTCTTCCTTAGTAACAGAATTGCTAACTTTGCCTAGGCACAAGACTCCCTGGATTAACAACTTCCCAGCACACAGGTGTGGGATTAAGGTCCCTGACACCAAAGAGTACCACATAAGGCCGGAAAATCAGAGAATAAATTAAATCTCCTGTTTTTCTTTTACCACATGGTATGGCATGTAGATCTTAGTTTCCCCACCAGGGATTGAACCCAGGCCCCTTGCAGTAGAAGCGAGGAGTCTTAACCACTGGACTGCTAGGGAAGTCCCCCGAAAATAAACTTCTATTTTAATTAAGCTACTATTTTTTCTCTGCCACTTATAGCCTAACCTGATCCTAAAGCTTCAAAGAGTATGAGTCTGTCATTACAAGGCCCTTTCCAAGATGGGATGGGCAAAAAGATGAAGGTTAAGATATTCAAGAATCAACTTACAATCTAGCAAAGATGCAGCCATCAGTTCACTGTGCCCAGAACAAGGCAACAGTCTTGCCTTGTTCTACACAATTGGAATCTGACATTCAGACATGAGCCCCATCCTAAGATGAATATTAGCCAACTAGCCAACAGGAGCTGGACTAGATGCGACTATTTATCTGGAGAAAAGAAAACCCAGCACAATGTGTTTGTGCTTTCAGATATCTAGAGGGCCATTATGGAAAAGAAAGATGTGACTTCTGGGGTGGGCCGGGTGGATAGAAGCTACAGCTCCACAGACTTTGCTACTTCTTCACCTGTCTTTACTCGAACAGGAAAGAATTCATCTCCTCTCCCTACACCAGCCTCTCCTCCTCATGTTCTATTTCCTGTTTCCTCCTGACTCCCGATAAGTACTTTTTCCCCTAATGATTTATTACTGCAAACTCTATTTCCGGTTTTGTTCTTTTTTCTGACCGTGGCATGTGGGATCTCAGTTTCCTGACCAGGGATCAAATCTGTGACCCCATCATGTAAACGCAGAGTCTTAACCACTGGACCACCAGGGAGGTCCCTTGAACATTTTCATGTGTAATTCAAGGAATTAAACACACCGGCTTTTATCGAGTTTGTTTCAATAGGAATTATTATTCCATTTCATTTTGGCAGAGTTGAGAAGACATCAGAATTGTTTTATATTCAATTTCTTTTTTTTTAAGCCATGCCACACAGCATGTGGGATCCTAGTTCCCTGACCTGGGATCAAACCCAGGCTTCCTGCATTGGAAGTACATAGTCCTAACCACTGGACTGCCAGGGAAGCCCCATCTGTTTCTTATTTTGGGAGAAAATACCACTGCTGATCTCCCCAGTGTTCTGTTCTCCCTCCCTTTACCCCACAGGCCTGTGGACACTTACTAATCTAATTGCTCATATTCTAAGCATAGATGGGGGTACATTTACTGGTAGATGAACACATTGTGCATGTTCAGAGATGGAAAAGATGGTGCCCTCGTGAGAAGCCTCCCCTTATGCTTCTCGCAGCTGTCTGGCTCAGTGCACCCAGGGCCAAGCATCTTGCTTCTTTTCTTCCTCACACATAGGCCTGTGTCTGCTAGTGATTGCTTTAATTTCCTGTGTATCCGGTCAACTCTCTGGAAGAGGGTGAGAGCCCAGGGTTTAGACTTGGACTTAGGTGAAGGTGCAGGCCTTCAGAGGCTTTTAGGCTAGGTTCTGTGCTCCAACACTGCTGGTCAGAAACATGCATCAGAGCATAGGCACTGGCCAACCTAATTATAGAAGAGTCCCTTATCTCCCATTTGCTATTGTTTGGGGTAGGAAGAGTGACTGGTCTAAGGCATTTCTGGATTCCTGGCTATGGTGCCTTACTTTCCACTGAGCCTTCCTGCCAGCCTATCCTGCAAACAAAACACATTGCCTCTGTAAGTAGTGAGCCTCCTGTCATTGTTGGTAACTGAACAAAGACATGAGATAACTACATGATAGGGCTATTGCAGTGGGATATCAATTAGAACAGGAGTCCCCAACCTCTGGGATCTAATGCCCAACAATCTGAGGTGAAGCTGATGTAATAATAATAGAATAAAGTGCACAATAAATGTAATACACTTGAATGATCTGCACACCATCCCTCCCCCAACCTTGGTCTATGGAAAATTGTCTTCCATGAAACTGATGCATGGTGCCGAAAAGGTTGGGGCCACTGGATTAGAAGACCTCTCAGGTTCCCTCTGTCTTTGAGAATGCACAAGCCTAGGTCTCACATTTAGTCCCAAACTCTGTCTTTATCCTATTTATTAGTAACATGGCATCAAAACAATCTGACCATTTTCTTTAAAAAAAAAAAAAAAAAAGCTATGAGAATAAATGCATGAGCAATAGTAAAAACAGCAGCCTCCAAGGAGTCAAAAATGACTAATTTGCTCATTCCAGTTGCTATTTTATTCCCCTTCTGTTGCTTCTCCAAGATTCCTACAACAATCACTGAGAAGATTAGCAGGTCAAAGGAGGAAGGAAGAGAGGTAAAGAAGGGCAGAATGGGCAGAAGCCACTAGAAGGCCCACCCCACAGCTAAAAGGCATTCAGGTGGGAAGAGAAAAACAATGGGAACACAAGCTATTTTGGGGTGAGGGGGGGTGACTGTGTGCTGACTCAGCTTCCTTCCTCTGCCCCCCTTTCCTTTCCCCTCCTTGTAATGTTTAACTTTCCTTCAGTGAATCAGAAGATAGGAGCTGGAAAAAAACCTAAGAGAGTTATCAAGTGCATGAACCCTTCCTTCTCTACGCCTTGAGGGCTGAGCTGCAAATGAGGAGGTGGATGAAAAGAGATGATTCATTCCTAAAGTCCATTCCTAAGGTCCCAACATTCCACAGATGCACAGTTTATCTGACCTGACCCATTGACTTAGGTTAAGATTGCCTATGCGTCCGAAATCCCAGTGGCAGGAACTCAAAAGGCATCAACCAGGCTTTGTCCATCTCACTCGCTTGTCCAAGTTTGAAAAAGCATAGCATGTAATGAGGAGACCTGGGTTCCAGTCCTAGCTCCTACACCTAACAGCCTTGGGGAAGCCATTGCAACCAACCAGGCTTCCATTTCCTTCTCTGAAAATCAAAGAGATATAGAATTCCTAGCAGGAAAACCACCCAGAGTCACTGGAAGAAGCAGATGGGGGGAAAAAATGGAGCTGTGAGCATTTGTGAGGCATGGAACCTCATAGAGATGTTGAGGGCTTGGGGTTTGGAGAATTAGAGGCTGTGAGCTGGCCATGGGCCAGAGATGCTGCTTACCTGGCCGAAGCGGGTAGCCCTCTCGCTTCTCCACTGTATATCCCTGAGGAATGTTGTAGAATTCTGGGAGCCCCCCAAATTGCTTCCAGACGGTGTAGTAGTTGAGGAAGGTCCTCATGGCATTGTCAATGTCCCCAATGAGGCTCTGCAGGAGAGGACTGGTTGTCAGGCAAGCAGCCACCAGGCAGGAAACCCACATACAGAACCCCATACACACCCTCGGGGAAAAGAGGAGGCAAAGGCTTTGGAGCTCAAGATCTGCGATCAAACCCTTAGTCGTCCATTTACTCACTGTGCAACCTCAAATCAGACACTTAACTTCTCTGAGCCTCATGTACAACATGCAAGTATAGTGTATATTTTATTTTGCTGTAAGGGACACAGGGTGTATACAAAGTCCCTGCCCACCAGTACTTGCTCAGTCAATACTGGCTACTAATAGTTAAATAGGTAAGTCAGTCATCTGATTTAAAATTCTAATTTAAAAAAGGTTGATTATACTAAGTTTCACTCCTACCCTACACCCCAGCAAGTAATCATTTTGCATTAGTTTGTAAACAGAAGCAAAGGTGTATGAGTATATATTACTTCCCCTGCATTAAATACAGCTTATTCAATATACTCTTCTGCAGTTTCCTTTATTCATTTAACAATACATCTCAATTTTTCCAAGTAAGTACATCTCCCTCCTCCTATTTCTACAGTTGCATAGTATTCCACTGCTTGGAGCACAATTTAATTAGCTCCTTATTGATAGTTAGTTGGCTTGCTTCCAATCTTTTGCTGTTTGCTATAATAATCAATGCGACAACAAATAACCCTGTACTTATGTCACCTCAAACATGTGAAGTGTATCTGTAAGATACATTTCCAGAATTAGGATTGCTGAGTCAGAGGATGTAGGTGCTTGTCATTTTACTAGGTGCTTCTAAGTAGCTATTCATATTAATATAAGCTCATAGGGAAGCAGCTGACCTTCCTGACATCTCCACTGGATGTCTCAGGGATAGAACAAAAGACATTCTCCAGGCTAAATTCTTGGTTCCCTCACTCTCTCACAAATTTGCCTCTCTATTCTCACCTCTCTCCCTTTTCAGTAAATGGCACCACCTTCCACTGATTCCACTCTGGCTAGACAGCTGGGGGTCATCCTTGGCTCTTCCTTCTTCCCTGACCCTTACATCCATTCTACCAGCAATACCCATCAATTTGCTCTCTCTCAAACATCAAGATTTTTCTCTACTTATCTCCAGAGCCACCACTTGTTCACCGGCATCTTGCACTGGGATGACCTCAAAGGCCTCCTCACTGACTGGTTCTATGACTTGTCTTCTCCAGTCTACTCTCCCCAATGCAGCCAGAGTAACTGTCTTACTCAAAGGCTTATGCTGACCAGACTCAGTATAAGGTCAAGATGCCACCATGGCCCTCAAGGCCCTGTGCGATCTGGCCACTGCTGACTTTCCATTAACTGTTCTTTCCCTTCCTTGGACTGTGGCCATCCTGCTTTTGTCTCTGATAAACACCTGACTCCTTCCTGCCTCCAAGACCTTCACACATCATGTTTCCTCTGCCTGGAACATCACCCCCACCCCCTACTTCTTCACGGATCAGTTCAGCATCACCATTTCTGAGAGTCCTTCTTATCTAAAGTAAGTCCCCATCTAATATTCTCTCTTTTAGCCTCTTATTTGTTTCCTTAATTGCAACTTATTGTTTTATGAATTTGTCTGTTTTTCTTTGTGTCTCGCTCTCTACGAACTTCGTGAAGGCACCCAAATGTCTGCTGAGGATATGAACAAATTTATTTTATTTTTTTTTTTTGATATGAACAAATTTAATGTCCTCCTTTCTTCAAATATGGAACATCACCTCAATGGGCTATGATCATTCTGTGTAAAATGCCCAACACATAAATCATTCTTTCATAAATATTTATCACCTCTATGTACCAAACTGTCAGCTAAATGTTAGCTATTAGTGTTATTATAACCTCACAGAGAAATAATTCCAGAAACCTTTCTCAAAGCAGGAAAAGTGCCACACACAAAGCACACAAATCCTATACAAACCGGGATGGCAAAGTGTGATATATACTCACAAAGGAATATTATTCAGCCTAAAAAAGAAGGAAATTCTGATATAGGTTACAAGCATGAAACTTGACAATATGCTAAATGAAATAAGTCAGTCACAAGAAAACAAATACCACGTGATTCCACGGATATGATACCTGGAGTAGTCAACATCATAAAGATAGAAATTATAATGCTGGTTGTCAAGAGGCTTGGGAAAGACAGAATGGAGAGTTAGTGTTTAAAAGGTGTACAGTTTTAGTTTTACAAGATGAAAAGAGTTATGGGGATGGATGGTGGTCTGCATAACAACATGAACATAAATTCCATTGAACTGTATCCTTCAAAGGATTAAGATGGTAAATTTTATGTTGTGTGAATTTTGCCACAATTTAAAAAAAGGAAAAAAAATACAATCATTTACTTTTCTTTCATTACTAGACATTTGGATCATTTCCAGTTTTTCTTTGTTATAAACTTTGCTGCTAGAAATACCCATATATGAGTTGCATCTTTCCCTGATCAATTATTTTCTTGGAAAATATGCACAGAAATAAAATCATGCAAAGTCAAGAGGTGTGATCAGCTGTATGGCTGGCTGGTACAGCAGGTTTTTTAAGAGGAATGTAGTCACAAATGGTTTTAAGGAAACAGATTTCCAGATCCTCAACTTTTCTAAAATGTATCACCAACAAAAAGGCAGGCTACCCATTCTGTCTCTTTCACAACTGTCCTACCACTTGACAAAAGCAAGGTGCACCCACCAACAATCTCCAACCTTACTGTGGAACACTGAACACTCAACTAGGTTAAATTTAAAATATTAGTGTAATGAAAAACAAAAACAAAAAATACTAGCGTAGGTGTTAAGAAAAATGAATGACTCTAACCACTGGGTAACAAATCCTTCTGCAAATCAGATGGCTTTCAATTCTTTGCTTTCAAGAAATGGAGAGAGGAACTGGTCACGTTGTCAGCAGAGACATCATTAAAAATAATTTTTGATGACAGATCATTATGTGATTTTCTTTGAACAATTTAATATTGCTACTTCTTCAGGTCAAAAATGGTTGAATGCTGGCAATTTTATACAGTTCAATCTATTAACTCAATGATTTCAAAGAACTGAATGATACTGCAATTATCAAACTCCTTCCATCTCCATCTACTTATTTATGTGCTCAGGCTCCTCGGCACTTATATCTAAAAAAAGTGAAAAACAGGAATAAAATTGATGTGTAAATGTGCCCCGTTTTAGTACATTTGAGTTGCAAAAGAGTCGGACATGACTGAGTGACTAAAACAACATATCCTTCATGCACAAATACATGAACTACTTAAAAATTTTTAAAGCCCCAAAAATCTCATTAAGAAATGAACCTCCAATTAAGTTGCTTTCAGGTTAATAATCATCAAAAATTGTAAGCTATAAATGTTGTTTTAACCATTTACATACTAATGATAATTAAATCCAGAAAAAAATAAATACTCAGTGCCTGTGGGCATGGGAAATTTTAAAACATTTTAAATTTCTACATATGAATAAATTTTGTCACAGAGGCATATAATAGGGTGTCCAATAAAATGCTTTCAGCATAAAATTATAATTAGGATAAAATCCTATTGAGGTAGTAGAATGGAAATATGAGTTGGAGGAGAAAAAGGAATGGTATGCCACTATTTAAATTTGTAAGATTAAAAACATGCAAGGGACCCTATAATTTTTCAAAATCCTTTTAGGGGATACTCAAGTAATAAAATTTGAAGAATCTTAGAAGAGCTGGACCAATATTCAATATTATCCACAAGTTCTTTCTGAGCTTCTTTCCCCATCTGTAGAATAGAAAGGGTTGGCTAAAAGTATATAATGGGGAACTAGTTAAATAAATGATGCTATATCTATCCAATGGAATATACACAACTGTTTGAAAAAGTAAAATTGATCTATATGTATCAATAAAGAATGATCTCCAAGACAGTCAGTGAAAAGTAATAAAATGCTCCTATTTACATAAAGAAAAAAAGGGGCCATAAATATACACATATCTATGTATATGGATTTCTGGAAAGAGGTATAGAAAACTGGCAATAAGGGCTGGCTTGGGGAGAGATTCTGAGGGTGGGGTCTTGAGACTTATCTATCACTGTATTCCTCTTTTTGGGGGCTTTTTATGCTGAAAAAATTCACTACCATCTACATGTCCGACTCTTTGCGACCCCATGGACTGTCGCTTGCTAGGCTCCTCTGTCCATGGAATTCTCCAGGCAAGAATACTGGGGTGGGTAGCCATTCCCTTCTCCAGGGGATCTTCCCAACCCAGGGATCGAACCCAGGTCTCCTGAATTCAAGGCAGATTCTTTACCATCTGAGCCATCAGGGAAGCCCCTACATGTGATAACCTTTTTTTAACTTCTTAAGGTTAAAAAACAGTTTATAAAAATATTTTAAATATATTTTAAAATATTTCAGCTTATAAAAATATTTTACATATTTGAGGACACCCAGAGGGTGGATTAGCTGGGCTCTAAGATCCCTTCCCACTGCAATGCTGTCAAGACCATGTAATCGGAAAACACAATGATGGTTGCAGAGTGGCCCCATATGCATTCACGCCCATCTTAGGCCAGCTGTCAAGAATGAGGACATGTGACAGAAATGTCCGATGGAGATATGGTCATTGCCAATGGCTATGACCACCCAACCCAGAAAAGACACTGTGTACTTTAAATGGTACAACATTCCACAGCCAACTAGGAGTTCAGTTCCTGACACTTAGCTCCCCCTGAAAAACTCAGTGTGGCAGAACTTTTAAATCTGTCTGACTCACTCTAAGCTTCTCTTCCCTCCCCAATCCACCCCTCCAATAAAACATACTCAAGCGCTTTTGATTACACATCAAAATGAGCTTGCTTTGCCCATTCCATAGAAAAAGGACCAGCCTCTCTGATTGCTCCTACCTGCAGACCAGGCCAGTATGCCTCCAGAGACTGGAAGACTGGCATGGACACAGTCCCCTTGTACATCTGCACCCATAGGTACCAGTCATCAAAGCGGGTGTAATTCCGAATGGCTTTGTTATATTCTGCAGAAGAAGTAAGACAATGGACATATCAATGATGAGGGACACAGAAGGCAGGCTTTGGCAACTGAGGGATGGATTTAAACATGTGAAAGACCCTTGGATGACCCAGACTCAAAGTAGACAAGGAATGCAAGGAGACCGATGAAGGAGCGTAGATTCTGCAGTTGAACTTCCAGGTTCAAATTTCAGCTCCAGTTCTGCTACTTGCTAGCTGTGACCCTGGGGCAAGTTTTCCCCCTCTTAAGCTTCAGTTTTTGGTTTTTAATTTAATTAAAAATATTTTTATTGGAGTACAGTTGATTTACAATGTTGTGTTAGTTTCAGGTATACCATAAAGTCAACAGTTATGCTGTTATTGTTCAGTTGCTAAGCTGTGTCTGACTCTTTGTGATTCCATCAACTGCAGCATGCCAGGCCCCCATGACCTTTACTATCTTCTGGAGTTTGCTCAAATTCATGGCCATGCTATCTAACCATCTCATCTTCTGCCACCCTCTTTTCCTTTTGCCTTCAATCTTTCCCAGCATCAAGGTTTTTTTCCAGAGTTGGCTCTTCGCATCAGGTGACCAAAGTACTGGAGCTTCAGCTTCAATCCTTCCAATAAATATTCAGGTTTGATTTCCTTTAGGATTGACTGATTTGATCTCCTTGTGGTCCAAAGGACTCTTAAAAGTCTTCTCCAGCACCACAATTCGAAGGCACTGATTCTTTGGCACTCAATCTCCTTTACAGTCCAACTCTCACATCTGTACATGACTACTGGAAAAACTATAGCTTTGACTATGTGGACCTTCGTCAGCAAAGTGATATCTTTGCTTTTTAATACCCTGTCTAGGTTTGTCATAGCTTTCCTTCCAAGGGGCAAGCATCTTTTCATTTCATGGCTGCAGTCACCGTCTGTAGTGATTATGGAGACCAAGAAAATAAAATCTGTCACATATACACAGATATCCACTCTTTTCCAGATTTCAGCCTCAGTCTTATTATCTATAAAGTGATGAAAGCAATGTTATACATCTCATGGGATTATGCAGTCATTTGTTCACTCAACAGTATTTACTGAGCACCTCTAGGTTCCTGGGCGGGAAGATCCCCTGGAGAAGGAAATGGCAACCCACTCCAGTATTCTTGCCTGGAAAATCTCATGGACAGCGGAGCCTGGCGGGCTACAGTCCATGGGGTCGCAAGAGTTGGACACAACTTAGGGACTAAACCACCTAGGTTCCAGATATCTAGGGAGTGGCAAACAAATCAAAGTTCAACCCTGAGGGAGCTTGCATTCCAGTGGCAACTTGAACTTATAACTCCCCCTAGAGTGTAAATCCATGAGAATTAGGACTTTGTTTTGTTGACTGCAGGATCGCTAATGCGAAGATAGTACATAATAAATATGCACAATAAACATTATCTGGGGACTTCCCTGGTGGTCCAGTGGTTAAGAATCTGCCTTGCAATGCAGGAGACAGACGTTTGATCACTGGTCAGGGAACTAAGATCCCACATGTCACAGAGCAACTAGGCCTGCACACCACAACTAGAGAGTCCATGCATCTCAATGAAACATCCCTGATCAGGCGGAGAGGGAGGTGGGAGGGGGGATCGGGATAGGGAATACATGTAAAACCATGGCTGATTCTTGTCAATGTATGACAAAAACCACTACAGTATTGTAAAGTAATTAGCCTCCAACTAATTAAAAAAAAAAAAGATCCCTCATGATGCAACAAAGATCCTCCTGGCTGAAACTAAAACCCAATGCAGTCAAATAAATAAATAAATAAATTTTTTTTTTTTTAAAGCAGATATTTAAAATAAAAACAAAACATTATTTGAATGATTCAAGTACCAAAAACACATCCAAATAAATAAGACAATCTCAGTGTTGTAAGGATTAAAAGAAATAGTCCATGTTCAGTACTTGGCACTGCAGTTGACACATCAATGGTACCCAACAAATGTTTGCTGAATAAATGAATGGTAGCCATAATTATTACTAGGTGCCCAATAACTCCTCAGTATCATTATTACTAGTGTCTAAGGGACTGAAGGGTAAAATGTTTCTACTCAACAGACATTCATCTGCTAGCTACTTCCTGCAAAGCACTGTGGGAAGTACAAAGATGAATAAGGCCTGGATGTTGCACTCAGTTGGTAGAGCTGTAACTTGTGACGACAGCTGATAGCAAAAAAAGATGCTGAAGGTCCTAAATTCTGAGGAAGCATCAAGCTATTTCCTGGGCAAAATGACATTTAAGCTGAGCCATAAAGGGTGAACAGAATTTGAACACATAATGGCAGGAAAAAAAGGCATTCAAGGCTAAGGAAACACAGTGTGTGCAATGGCCAGGAAATGAAACAAAAAATCCAGGGTTGCCTACGGGAAGGCAGCACGGTTCAGCTGGGCTCTCGCAGGATAGCATGAAGAGGTGTTAGGGGCCTCAAGTGGGCAGTGTAAGTCCATGGTAGTTTTGAACGCAGACTCTGGTACTCAGAGCTAATTGTGTAGGCAGGCACTTGGGAGCAATTGAAAGTTTATAAACGATATTTCAACAAGGGAAACCAACGGGAAAAGCCCCCCTTCCCCACCCTCTTTACCTAGGAACATGGCCATGAGCTTTTTATCCTGAAGCAGGATGGCTCCTTTCACCAGGTACTCAAAGTAGGAGTCCACGCCAGCCCCGATGCCCGCATCCTGGGCCACCCATTTGCCAGTGAGCACGTCGATGTGGTTGCCAACCTAGGAGGAAGACACGTGGTCTCAAAGGAGGGCCCAAGATGAGCAAGGAGATGCATCCCCCGGCTGCCTGGTAAGATGCAAGGTAGGCACCCCAGTACTTGGGAGACATGGAGGTTCTTGGGGTACAGGGTTGGGGAGCAAGGTTGGATCACAGCCAGCTCTCCTGCGTATCTGTACAATGGAGACGCATCTCATGTACAATTAGGAGGACTTAATTATACAAAACTGGTCAAAAACTGAAAAAAGAACTAGACTTGGAGTGTTCATGCCAAGAACGTGTTCATGCCTAGAATGTATTCACGCCTAGTGTCTAGAGTGAGTGTGAGCTGGGATGTGAGAACGTGCTGTTCCCACAATCTGTCTCAGACTTCTCAGCCTGAGAAACTGCATGCGGTTCCAGTGTCTAAAGACACAAGGCACACGCTATGTTTCCGTTAATCAATTTGGGCAGGACATCCAAGAAACAGAGCAGCTGCTTGTAAGGAGAGGAACTGGGTAACTAAGGTTCTTTCTTGTATTCTTTGACTTGTGAACCACTTAAACATAAATTTTAGGGACTTTCTTAATGGTCCAGTGGCTAAGACTCTGTGCTCTCAATGCAGCAGGCCCAGGTTCGGTCCCTGGTCAGGGAACTAGATCCCACGTGCTGCAACTAAAGATTCCCCATGCTGCAATGAAGGTCGACAATCCCGTGTGAGGCCAAGTAAGACCTGGCACAGCCAAGTAAAACAGAAATACACCTTGAAGATTTAAATGAAGAGATATGTTGTCCACATAACCGCAACCCCAATGGATGCTGAGAGCTTCACCTGGTATTCAAAGAAACAGCTAACTGTCCTGTTAGTTTGGGCAGATCCACAGTAAGGAAGGCAGGAAGTAGTTGATTTGGAAAGTGAGTTCCTGGAAACTCTGGTAGAGGAGAGGGAAAGTGAGGCAAGGCAGGGAGGCAGCCCAGGAAAGGTGTACCAGCAGGCAAGTTACCACCACGAGAACTGGAGCTCCATCCCGCTGGGCAACTTTGGGACTCAGTATAGAGCACGAGCCTCAGCCCTTGGGTGGGATGGGGAAGTGAGGTGTTTACCCACAAAGTCCTGTCAGTATCAGTCACTGATGGAGAATTGCTCCAGGGGAGAATTAAGTTTTGGCCCTTTCAGCCAAGGACAAGCAAAGCAGGATCCAGGTACCAGAAAAAGGCCTGTAGGCAAAGAGACTTGGGTGATAGCAGCTGGAAGACAGGCCAGTGTGCACGGAAATGGTAAAGGGCTGATGGGGTGTGAGCAGGCCAGCCACGGAGTCCACCATGGTTCCAGGGATGGAGAAAAGACTGCCTGTGTTGGACTCACTAAGGGAGTTACTTGAGGTCCCCAGAGTGGCACCCTCACACAGCTCTCACTTTCAAGCTGACTTAGAACCAGAATTTGTAAAAACATGCCCCCACCTGAATCTTTTTCAGACAACACCGTCTTTATCAGTCATAATGACTCAGTGAGCAGGTATAAGTATGTCACATTACTACTGAAGCAATTGTGGATCAGAAAGGTTGAGTGACTTGGCCAGGGTCACACAGTTTCAACAGAGTAAAGCCAGAACTCAGTCTCAGTTCTGACTAAATCCAGAGCTATTTCCTGGACAGCTCTGGCTCAGTTACTGTTAGTTTCACTGGATGATCCAGTTTAGGAACTGCAATCGACCTCAGAGATGACTGGTCACATTTTTCATAGGTTAGTAGGTGTGGAGAGGAAAGGGAAGACCTGGTATCAAATAAGTTTATGAAACATTGTGTTAAGCAAAATTAAACAGATTAATTTATCAGAGGTTTTCATAACCTTTAACTTGTTTGTGTTCATCATGATTCTTCAGAAAAAGGATATTATTTATAACATTCCCCAAACTTAATTGACCAGGAATCTTTTTTTTTTCACGGAATAGCCATTCAGTGTCTCATATATTTTCTGGTTCTAGGAAACACAGTTTCACAAAAATATGTAAAAATGAGGGCCAGACAGGCTGATTATCTAAGGTCACTAAGTGAGTCAGGGCATGAAGCATGCGACCCACTCCCTAGAAATCAGAGAAGCTCAAGGAGTCAGAGTTCATCAAACCCTCCTTCCTGGTAAAGGATGTGCTCTCATGCTCTCCTCCTCTCTGTGCCAAAGCAGGAACTGGCAGTCTCATCTACTTTCCATCATGAGCCTAAGTCTTGGACCACTCCTGAGGTCACCCTTCGTTTCCTTCAGCTGAACTGCAATTTGTTGCTCAGAGCCCCGAGTTGCGTAAGCACGGGCCAAGGTGGCCAACTTGACCTAGCTGGGAAGGGTGGCAGCGGGACCTACCAGCCCAATGTCCGACCGGCTCTCCCAGAGGCGCATCAGGGCCACTCTGGCCACGTCTTCAAACACGGGGTCACCGGTGAGGCTGCTGAGGGTGGCAAATTCCACGATGAAGGTCCCGATGCCTGCCGTACAGGTGACAGGGGTCTCTCCCGGGTTCACGCCGTGAAGCAGATTCACCGTGCCATATGGCATGCCAGTGGGGGTCTGAAAGGCTGAACGATCACAAAATTAAGACCTCAGACAGGAGTGGGGAGGTGGGGATGGTTGGACACAGGTCTAAAGCCTGAGGCTTTGGCCAGTGCTTCCCTCTTGTCCCCTAGGTCCGCAGTCCACAACCTTTTTGGCACCAGGGACCAATCTTGTGGAAGACAGTTTTTCTACAGACTGGGACAGGGGGATGTTCCAGGCGGTAATGCAAGTGATGGGGACTGATGGGAAGTGGCAGATGAAGCTTCACTCACTTGCCCACCACTCACCTCCTGATGAGTGGCCCGGTTTCTATCAGCTTGCACACTAGTACTGGTCAGCAGCCGGGGGCTTGGGGACCCCTGCCCTAGGTGATCTGCTAGAGACTGAGCCAGAGAAGGATAAATCTCACAAATGGAGACCTCAATGGCCACTTAACCCAGATGCTGCCAAACACCACTCCCCATGCCTTGGGCTCTTGCCTGTGGTGCAGAAGGGAACAGCAGGCTGTGCTCTGGGTTGGCACGCTCCACACATGTTCACTGTAGCTAGAGCAGCTCTACCTTTACTTATTTTATACTGTGTCTTCAGAGGCCAGGCAGCTAACTTAGTGTGAAGCAGGTGGGGCTTAAGCCATAGGCAGTGGTGGGGCTGTTGGCACAACAAGGAAGCCATTCATCTACTTCTTAAAACACCATTCTGACAAATGAACCGTATCTGCAGACTCTAAACAGTCCCAGAGGAGCCAGTTTGGGATTCCTGCCTGAAAGAGTCTTGGGGCTATTTTTTTTTCTTTATTTTTTTAAATTGGTGTATAGGCGCTTTGCAATGTCGTGTTAGCTTCTACTGTACAATAATGTGAATCAGCTATATGTATACATACATCCCTTCCCTCTTGGGTTTCCCTCCCACTTCCCCCCACCCCACCCCTCCAGGTCATCACAGAGCCCAGAGCTGAGCTCCCTGTTCTATACAGCAGCTTAGCACTGACACAGATACACTATCATGTATAAAATAGATAGCTAGTGGCTATGTTACTTTTTCTTTTTTAAAGGATATAAACCACGAACCTGCTGATTATAGTCCAATCCTCAATTCACAGGTAGGAAAAGACATGTTTGCAAAGAAGTGACACAAAGGTCACACAGCGAGCCAAATGGAGCTAAGATGGGAATGACTGCCACGTGCCCGCTGCCTTCTCCCTCCCCCCAGGCCCAGTGTCCTGCCCACCCCACCCCAGTGCTTTCCGATTCAAGGCAAGGATCTAGACAGCAAGCCAGAGGCAGAGACTTCCTCTCCAGGCTGAAAGGTCAACCAACCCCAGAGCAGCCTGTGCGCCACCAACCTGTGAACAAAGCTGTCAAAACTTCCAAGAACCACAAGGCCCAGAAACTTTACTGTAGGAGGAGAAACTTGCTATCTGGCAGACATGAATGGAAAGCAAGGAGGATTCAAGTCACCATCAAGAAGGCCCCAAAGAGATAGCCCAGAGAAGTCAGGCAGCCTTAAAAAGAGAGGAGGGTGGCTAAATCCTGTTTCTCGACCTGAAAGGTAGAGACATGGGTGCCAACTTCAGCATGTACTTTGCAATATGTATATTTCTCAATTTGAAAAAAATGCAAAAGAAAAGGGAGCAAGCAGGTAGAGTTTCTTCCAAGGATAAATCACACAGGACATGAAGGCTGTGAGACAGCAAGCCTGAACTGGGCTCGCTCATTCTCCTCAGCTCGTCCCCAAGGATCAGAGGCAAGTCCTGGGTGAAGGCGAGAAGTGACATGGCCAAGAGGCTGGTGGAAAGCACAGCGTGACGTGTTTGGGTGTGAACAGCACTCAGAGCCTCCACCACACCCTGAAGAGAACACAGTGTCCAGCTGATGCTGCTGAGCCGAGCTACTGCCCCACCAGACAAACACTGTGGCTTGGCCTGCAGCCCCGGACAAGGCTTAGCTACAAAACAAGTCCCTCTCGTGTCTCAGTGGTGTTTGAGGTTCTCCAAGAACTCTCTCCATTCTGATCTCATTTTATGTCTCCCCAGAGGGAGGTAGGAATTATGACTGTCATCTGATAGATGGGGAAACTGAACCAAGCAGAGTATATGGGTCAAGAGACTGGCTGGAGAGCTGAATCTGGAATCTGGGGTTGCAAACACTCAGACATGGAATCCTTTCATCCCAGCAGTGTGTGGGCCTGGGAGGGGGCAACAGCACTCACTTAAATAAGGTTAAGAGCCTTGCAGCTGCCAGGCTCCCTGCCCACAGTCATGAGGTCAGCTTATCCATCCCAGTCTAGCCCTCCAAATACCCAGGACTCCCCTGATTTCCACGGTGGGCACTGAAAGGCTGAAATACCAAATGTCCGGTATAATAATTCAGCCACTCTCTTCTCCAACAAGAGCAGCAAGACCTCCTGGACTTCCTCTCTGATCTGTCTCGACATGGGTCTTACCTGGGAGGAGTTTCCGGGCTGCCTCCTCCGCCATCCTCAGGAGAGGCCCTGAGCAGGGCCATCCAGCCTCCACTTCCACCCCAGCCTTCTTTGATAGCAGGTGAGCCGAAAGAAGTCCTCCTACCACTACAGATGGCACAAAAAGCAAGTGTCAGACTCCCAAGGACCAGTCTTTCCCTTGTGCAAATTAAACCCAATGCTCCGTTCGGTGGTTCACTGGGGAGTGGGTAGAACTACCGAGGGAAAGAAGAGTCCATAATACCCACATTGGTAGTGTTAAGGTCACCAAGTCTTTTTCCCTCTTGGTAGGTCACAAAAACAATGACTATCACTTTTAGTCCCTAGGGTATATCAAACAGGACTTCCCCTGTGGCGCTAGTGCTAAGGAACCTGCCTGCCAGTGCAGGAGACATAAGAGATTCAGGTTCAATCCCTGGATTGGGAAGATCCCCTGGAGGAGGGCATGGCAACCCACTCCAGTATTCTTGCCTGAAGAATCCCATGGACAGAGGAGCCTGGCGGGCTACAGTCCATAGGGTCGCACAGTCAGGCACGAGTGAAGCACCTTAGCATGCATGCACGTGCACCAAACACCAGGTATTTTGTGCCCTCTTCAGACAAAGACACTGAGGATCGGAGGGGCAAAGCGACTTGCCCAGAGTCGCCCATCTAGCACGTGGTAGGCACAGGTCTGCCTGACTCCAAAGCCCACGCTCACTGTACTTGGTCACTGTCTCCCAATCGCCAGGAGAAGAAGAGAAAGATACTTATTACCTTCATTTTATTCATTTCTCTATTTCAATTTATTACATAATATTTAGGACTTATAAATAAAAGAACTAAAGCTTACATATCTGGAAATATGGCTGAACTGGTGACCTTGGGCTTCAGTTTCTACCCTTCAAAGGCCAAACAAAGGCAGTGAGATAAAGACGTTTTCATACTAAGAAAAGCTGAGAAAGAACACGCCTGCACTAAAGGACATTCAAAAGGAAATTTTTCAGATAAAAGGAAAGGGACCACTAATGTAAGGTCTGTGATACAAGAAGGAAAGACGGTTCCAAAGTGGCAAATAGTAGTAAATCTAAACCTTCAATTCTATAGAACAACAATAATGTATGGATGGCTTAAAACAAATAATTAAAATATGTAACTAAGGCATACAGGTACAGATAGTCCTCAGAGCCAGGTTTTATATTATTCAGGAGGAGAATAAAGATCTTCATTAATTTTAGACTATGTTTGTTAAGTTTTCCAAGAAAACTAATAAGCTAGATATACTGCATAATTTCTAGATTAGTATAGAAAAATGGGATAAGGGGGGAAAACAAATCAACCTACAGAAGGCATAAAAAAGAAAGGGACTTCCCCAGCGGTCCAGTGGTTAGGACTCCATGCTTCCATTGCACAGGGCACGGGCAGGTTCAGTCCTGGTCGGGGGAACTAAGACCTCATATGCCACATGACATGGCCAAAAAAATAAAATTGAAAAGAAAAAGAAAAAGAGTAGAGAGAAAAATGGGACAAATAGCACAAAGTAATACCATAGAAATGAATGCAAATATATCAGTAGTTGCAGTAAATGTAAATGGATTGAATGCTTCAGTCAGAAGAAAAGATTGTTAGAATGGATAAACATACTAGGTAAATTACAAAACACAGCTAATCATAAAATACAGCAAGATAGAAAATAAAAGAGAAGAAAAAGACATACTGGGCAAATGTCAACCAAAAGAAGGCTGATATAATTACATGTGTATCAGAAACAGAGACATAAGGACAACCTTAACTTATAAGATGACAATCTGGACTCAGCAGTTCTGGGACACAGCATTGAGCATGGCCTCAAACGCAGGTCTGATCCCTACACCAGGATTTTATACCATGCTGTCCCTCTGCTCCATAGTCTTTTTTTAATTAAAAAAATTATATATCTGTAATACAAATTTCATTGCACATAACATATAAAGTGAGCAAAATAAGGAGGAAAAAATATAACTATCATCCAGAGGTGCTGGCTGTTAAGCCACCAATGGTCTAGAAGCTCACTGAAAAGAAGGGTTGTACTACTTTCATAAGAATCATTGGATCAAAATTCACTGAAATGTGTAAATCTGTGCATTTCAGTATATGTAAATGTACCTCAACAAAAGGAATGAATCATTTTAAAAAAAAGATTCATTGGAACCTGCTAAAAATACTGATTCTAGGACCCAACCTCAAAATTCCAATTCATCACATTTAGAGTGGAGTCTAGACAGCTGAACTTTTAAAAAGGTCCCAGGTGCTTCTGATTGGCAGCCAGGTTTGGAAACTAATACCTAAGACTCACACTATGTTATACAGCAAGTAGTAAAAACATGCCACTATTTAAATTTGCATTCATTAAAATTAAATAAAATTAAAAATTCAGTTCTACAGCTGCAGTAAACACATTTCCCCTGGAGATGGAAATGGCAAACCATTCCAGTATTCTTGCCTGGAAAATCCCATGGATGGAGGAGCCTGGCAGGCTACAGTCCATAGTCACAAAGAGCTGGACACAACTGAGCGACTTCACTTTCCCTTTCAAACATGTTTCAGGTGTGACTACTGGACTGGACAACAGAGATATAAAACATTTCCATCATCAGTGCAGAAAGTTCTATGGGACAGTGCTTCCTAGGCAAATAAGCTATGAGAAGGCAAGATTACATCTTTCTTGCTCTTGGCTGAAAGCCTAGTACCAAGTATATGTTAAATATGTGAGTAATCCTGGCATGTTTCTCTTCTGTCTTTTCTCTGTCCCCTGCTCACTTTCATGTCTAAAACTGATGAGGGATCCTGAGACCTCCCTACCCCACCCCCCAGGAGGGAAGAGCTCTGTAGATCTGTTTTGAGTCAAGTGCCCTGGCAAAGCTGGCCCTTAAGATCCTATTTACCACCTCCTGGTTTATACAGAGACCAAAACTCCACAGTCTCCTTTCTTCCAAGGACCCTCAAAGGCACCCCTCACCTCGGATGTTGGTTTCAAACACAGAGGCATTCACGTCAATATCAAAGTCCACATTGTCCTGGAGCACTTCAACCACTCTTTGGAATTCTGAGACATTCCCCAAAATCTGTAGGAAAGAGAGACCTGATAGTGGGGCCTGAGGCTCTCAGGCTTGTAGGCGCTGGAGATGCTAGATCAGTCTAGGATCTTCTGCTGGTGTGACTCTCACTTTTTCAACTTATGACCTAAAGTTTCTGTTCTAGAACTGCTGGGAACAGTTCAAAACACTGAGAGCTGGAAATCACACAGACCCAGTATTGAGACATTAGTAAATTCTTTGGTTCCAATTTAAGAATCCTATGTACTCATTTAAATGAAACCAATATAAAGACTGTAGACCACATAAGGAAATCTTAGTTTGACATTTTCAGTGGATATCTGTTGTTTTTAACCTTGTCACATTCATCCTGGTGGAAAATACTGCAGGTTGGTTGACCCAACAGATTCCCAATCTTCTTAATACTTGTAGCTTCCAGACATAGAAGCTAGAAATCCACATACTTGTTTCTCAGCCTCATTTGCTACTAGAGGTGCTTGTGTTATCCAGTCAATTCTGAGCGTTGTAGTCTACTAAGGGCGCTTCTCAGAAATGGCCTAATAAAAAGAGATAAGACACCACTGGCATGGCTTTTACTCTTTTCCTTTCTACTTTGAAAGCAGACTTGATTTCTGGAGCTTTGGCAGCCATCTCAGACCATGAAGTACTAAGCATGAAAATGAAAGTCAATATACTAATGATGGCAGAATGGAAGGATACCAAGAGCATGGGTTTATGATGACACAATTAAGCAGCTGACCCAATGCTGGAAATTATTAATACCTTCAGATTTACTTTTACTTGAGAAAATTAAACCCTTTTTGTTTAAACTGTCAGTCAAATGCAATCCCGATACCTTTTATTCTGATGCGACTGCTCCAATTTTCCCCTGAGGAATCACCCTTCTTCCACAGTCACTCTTACAATTTGAAGAAGCTGATTCCATTCCTTCAGCTGCAAGAATGGGCACTTCGCCTACACCAGCCAGCCTACTAAATCTCTTGGCCAACTGATTCGTTCAGGGATAGATGTGTAACCCAAGCCAGATCATTGAGACTCAATCATTGCAATTAATGAAAAATAACATTCTTTCCACACACAGGTTACTGAATGAGTGGGATGTGAGTCTGGGGTTACCACTGGTTACCCTGTCAGCTTAAGGAAAGCCTGAGAATACAGCCAGCAAAGAAGGCAGAAATAAGAGACTGAAAAAGATTCCTACTGACATTCTTTATATTGTCCAGAACCAGCTGAGTCGGAGGCCAGTCTTTACCTGGATTTTTTAGCTATGTGACTCAGTAAATTTCCTTCCTGTCTAAATCTATCACTTGCAACCCAAACAATCCTATCTTAGCATTTAAAGCCCTCTATGATTTAGACCTAATCTATCCTCTGTGTCTCTCATTGTTCATCCAGCCTCGTCTCATCCACTTCAGTAGAACTGGATCTACTGTTCCTCGATTTTCTAACCTCAGATATGCTGTTCCCTCTACCAGAAATCACACCCTGTGTCTTCCCATTTACAAATCCAACTTACCCTCAATTGTCTACATGTTACCTTCTCTAGAAAGTCTTTGATTCCCCCAGCTGAAATACCTCTTCTTCCTTCAAAAGACTCCAGTTAAGTTTATCCCCACAACTCTGAGACATCTATTTCTTTCCATGTGATGAGAATCTTTGCACAGGCAGGAGCCTCACTCATTCCTACACTCCCCCAGAGGGCTCAGCACAGTGCATGAAGCAATTATTCAAAAAATATTTGTTAAATGATTTCATGAATCTTTCTCCACATTGTAGCCAGTGATCTTCTCAAAACAGAAATCTAATTTCCTACCCTCATCTTGAAAAATGCCAGTGGCTTTCCACTTCCCTCAAATTAAAGATCAAAATGAAAGATGAAACTCAAAGGCCCAGGTGAAGAATTCACTTTTCACCCACAGCCAAGCTGCCAAAAGAAGGATATTGGTTATGCAATGTTGGAGAGAAAAAGGAATAGATGAGGGACACTTACCAGCAAGGTGTCCAGAGCATCAATCAGAGTCAGAGAAAAACTGTAAAAGGACAAAAATATCAGCTGCTTAGTAACAAAATCAAACACCATATATTAAGGCCTCAGATCAGATACCCCAGAAACTAATAAGTGAGGCACAGCAATGCCTCTGCCAGTCCCACTCACTTGCTGTCACAACAGAGATGCCATAGTGAAAATCGCCAGGAACCTCTAACCCTTTTAAGGCTCTTGGGAGGTGGGCAGATGCAGCTGACTGTAGTTAAACATCGCCTATATTCTCTGGCATTCTTCTCCACCATAGGGAGGCAGTATAAGATTGCAGCTCATAGCACAGGCCTCCCACATCTATGACTATCTCACAGTGCACAGAACTGCAGGCTTGAGAATACTTATGGCAGTATTGTTTTTAGAACAGCAAAAAGCTAGAAATAACCCAAATGTACACCAGTTGAAGAGTGAGTAACCAAACTGTAATGTATTCAAATAATGCAAAACTATGAGGTTGTCAAAAAGATTATCAAGAGTTCTATGGGCTAATGTGAAAATATTCAAATTATCTAGTTCAATGAAAAAGACAGGCTACAGAATAGGTAGTGTCATATGTTGTAACTCCATTTTCAAAAACGGACATATATACAGAAAGCAGATTAGCAGTTTTTTGGGCCAGTGGTGGTGGAGGGATTAACTATAAAAGGCCACAAGGGATCTTTTTAGGGTGACAGAAATGGTTCTCTATCCTGACTATGATGGTGGTTGCTACACACTTAGTGGGTGCATTTCATGTAAGTTACACCTTTAAAAAGTTAATTTAAAAAGATACATATATACATATCTATCAGTTCAGTTCAGTCGCTCAGTCATGTCCAACTCTGCGACCCCATGAATCGCAGCACGCCAGGCCTCCCTGTGCATCACCAACTCCCAGAGTTTACTCAAACTCATGTCCATCGAGTCGGTGATGCCCTCCAGCCATCTCATCCTCTGTCGTCCCCTTCTCCTCCTGCCCCCAATCCCTCCCAGCATCAGGGTCTTTTCCAATGAGTCAACTCTTCTCATGAGGTGGCCAAAGTATTGGAGTTTCAGCTTCAGCATCAGTCCTTCCAATGAACACCCAGGACTGATCTCCTTTAGGATGGACTGGTTGAATCTCCTATAGGATGGTATAAGTAAAAAATATTTCTGGAAGGACCCACAAGAAAGTTAACAGTGATTGGAGTTCTAGCATATGGGAGATATTTATTTTATTACATAACATTGTACTGATTAAATTTTCCATTCTCGTGCATTATTTTTTTTATCTAAAAAACAACCCAACAGATTTTGGGGGCTTCCCTCATAGCTCAGTTGGTAAAGAATCCACCTGCAATGCAGGAGACCCCGGTTCGATTCCTGGGTCGGGAAGACCCCCTGGAGAAGGGAAAGGTTAATACTGGAATACTCCAGTATTCTGGCCTGGAGAATTCCATAGACTGTATAGTATAGCCCATGGGGTCCCAAAGAGCTGGACATGACTGATTGACTTTCACTTTCACTTTAATTTCTCCAGTTCTTAGCATACTCATTTGTAAAATGGAGATAACAGCACTTAATGCCTAGGGATGTTAATTACATGAGATGATGCAAGGAAAATGCTTAGTACAGTGTTTCATCAATGTCAGTTTCAGCTAAATGCAATGATTCTTCACTCACTCAGCAAGGACCAAGACAGAGGATTCCATATCAGAGATTTTTTTTCATAGATTTTTATTCTAGTGGAAGTGAGAAATACAAACTAGCAGATAAGTGAAAATGACAGTATCAGAGTGAGAAGTGCTACAAAGAAGATAAAAAAGTGTTTGTGAGACTGACTAGTAGGTGATGGGTATTTAAGGGAACTGACACTAAGGTGACAGTTTGAGCTGAAATCTCAAGAAGCAGTCAGGGATGTGAGGATAAAGGAGGAAGTGCATTTCAGTTACATTTACCAAGGCTCTGAAGTTTCACCTTTGGGAGAGTTATAGCTCACTTACGACATGAAGGGGTTGGGTCTTCTGACTTCCTGAAGCCCTCCCACACATCCTATGGCTCCAGGGATTTGCCCAAGTCCCAACAGCTGGTGCCTGTTACTGCTGTGGCCAGAGCCCAGAGATCCAGCCCACTAGGATAACCCAGCTTTTTCCCACCTTGTGATCCAAATTTCCAGGAGGCTGGGTGGATCCCGGTGGCATGAGCCTGAATTGAGGGCACTGCGACCCCACCCTGGCTAGGAGCTTTTCCTGGAACCCTGTGAGGAGACCATGAAGCCACCAGTCCCAGCAGACCCGCCGCCGAGGACCAGACTGCTCGGCCCAGGCCTCCCCTTTGCCCCTCCCCTCGCACTACCTGCCCCAGGTGTCGTGCCCATCACAGGTGAGAGGTCGCAGCTCATCGTAGGGAAAGGCATTCTCCAGGTAGCTGTCGTAGGCGTGGTAGAACATGGCTTTGACTCGTTCCCTGTGCAGGGTACGAGGAATAAGGCAGAGGGTCACCAAATGAAACCAGGCAGGGGAAAAGGACAGGAAACAGGGCGGAAAGTGGGAATTATCACCTGATTTCTGCCAGGAGCCCTGTAGCTGGGTCCCAGCAGGTCAGGATAGGGGTCCCGGGATGGAGGGAACAGGGAAGGGACCAAGTCTGGGCTTCCCATTCCCCAACTATGGAAGGGCAGGGAGCTTGACCCCCCACCCCTTCACCTGTAGTGGGCGGGGTCGGGTGCGGTGCCATCAGGGCCGGGTGCACCATGGTGCAGGGGCAGCAGAGCACACAGGAGGCCAAGCGGGACGAGCAGCCGGAAAAGCATAGAGCTCGTATCCTGTCAGCGCCGCCGCTGCAGCAGCAGCCGCCACCACCCGCTCATCCTGCGAGCCTCAGCGTGTTCTTCCGGGAGTTTGCGGCACTACGCCTGCGTGCCCATGAATCATCCATTCACTTCCGGACTACAAGCCCCAGAATGCAATGGGCGGCGGAACTCAAGCAAAGAGAAGCTTGGGATATATAGTCTCTGAAGCGGAGATCAACGTGTCTTAAAGATAGTGGCTGTTATAGCTACTATTATTAATTAATGTTTTAGCAACAGCATGTTTTAAAGCTTTCTTAAATTTAATTATTTTTATTGAAGTATAGTTGGTGTGTAATGTTATATGTTACAGTATAGTGATTCACCATCTTTAAGGGTTATACTTGATTTATAGTTACTATAGAATATCATCTGTATTCCCTGTGTTGTAAAATAGATCCTTGTAACTTATTTTATACGTAACAGTTTGTACCTCTTAATCCCCTACCCTTAAAACATTGCCCCCTTCACTTCCCTCTCCCCAATGGTAACCACTAGTTTGTTCTGTATATCCATGAATCTGTTTCTTATTTGTTATGTCACTAATTTGTTGGGTTTTAAAAAAATTCTATGTATAAATGATATCATACAGTATTTATCGTTCTTTGACTTATTTCAGTTAGCATAACGCCCTCCGAACTCCATCGATGTTGCAAATGGCAAAATGTTCGTTCTTTTTTATGACTGAGTAGTATTCCATTAAATAAATGTATCAATACCACATCTTCTTTATTCAACCATCTGTTGATTGACACTTAGGTTGCTTCCATATCTTGGTAATTGTAAATAATACTGGTATGAACATTAGGGTGAATGTATATTTTTCAATTAGTGTTTTCATTTTTTTCAGATGTATATCCAGAAGTGAATTTGCCAGGTCATATGGTAGTTCTATTGTGGTCCTATTGATGACAGCCATTCCTTCAGGTGGGAAGTGATAGCTCACTGTGGTTCTGACTTGCATTTCCCTGATGATTAGCAGTTTTGAGCATCTCTGCATGTGCCTGTTGGTAATCTGCATGACCTCTTTGAAGAAATGTCTGTTCAGATCTTCGGCCCATTTTTTAACTGGATTGTTTGTTTTTTTGATATTGAGTTGAATGAGCTGTTTATATATTTTCAATTAACCTATTATTGGTCATATCATTTTCAAACATTTTCTTCCATTCAGTAGGTTGTCACTTTGTTTTGCCAATGGTTTCCTCTGCAATGCAAAAGCTTTTAAGTTTGATTAGGTCCCATTTGATTATTTTTGCTTTTATTTCCTTAGCTGTAGGAGATGGATCCAAAAAATAATGCTATGATTTGTGTCAAAGAATGTTCTGCCTATGTTTTATTCTAGGAGTTTAATGTTTTCAGGTCTTACATTTAGCTCTTTAGACCATTTAGTTTATTTTTGTATGTGGTGTTAGAGAATATTCTAATTTCATTCTTCTATATCTAGGTGCCCAGTATTCCCAGCACCACTTATTGAAGAGACTGTCTTTTCTCTTTGTATATTTTTGCTTCCTTGGTCATAGGTTAATTGACCATAATGTCTCTGCTTTTGTGCCAATATCATACTATCTTGATTACTGTAGCTTTATAGTGTGATCTGAGGTCAGAGAGCATGATTCTTCCTGCTTTGTTGTTCTTTCTCAAGATTGTTTTGGTTATCTAGGGTCTTTTGTATTACCATATAGTTTTTAAAATTATTTGTTCTAGTTCTGTGAAAAATGCCCGGGTAGATTGGAAGGGACTGTATCAAATTATAGATTGCCTGGGGTAGTATAGCCATTTAAAAAAATTATTTCTTCCAATTCAAGAACACACTGTATCTTTCCATCTGTTTGTGATATCTTCAAGTTCTTTCTTAGCAACAGCATTTTAAAGGACTTGTTACCAAGACTGTATGCAGTACTTTAAATATATTATCTTTTTTAAAAACCACCTTATTATGCATGAAAGCAGAGATCTGCAGGGACTTAATATTTATTAGTGGATGCATTTAAAGATGCATAAAGAATGTCCAGCCTTTACTATAATTAGACATATTGAGTTTCCCAAACAAGTACCCTGCTAAGTGTAAGATACAGCTTACTTCCATTTATTTGTCCAAAGCTGCTACTGTCAAGATTTTCAGAAATCTCATCAGTTCTAGGAATTCATGAATTCTTGTCATATCCTTTTTCTCATTTGGGACGTGGTCACATTATTATGGTCTCTTCAGTCTCTGTCCCAGTGCAGAAGCTTCTCCCTCCCAATCCCCTGGACCAGCTCAGTGGCCGCAGCCCTGTGGGTTATCCTAGCTGAAAATTGGGCACCATAGCTTTAAGAAGGAGAACACAATGCAACCCACTCCAGTACTCTTCCCTGGAAAATCCCATGGATGGAGAAGCCTGGTGGGCTGTAGTCCATGGGGTCGCAAAGAGTTGGACACGACTGAGCGACTTCACTTTCACTTTTCACTTTCATGCATTGGAGGAGGAAATGGCAACCCACTCCAGTGTTCTTGCTTGGAGAATCCCAGGGATGGAGGAGCCTGGTAGGCTGCCATCTATGGGGTCGCACAGAATCGGACATGACTGACATGACTTAGCAGCAGCAGCAGCAGCTTTAAGAAAGATGGGACCCATTTTTCCATTTTCCTGCTTGCAAGTTCCCAGAATTTCATCAACATTTTAGAGCATAGCAACACACTTGACTTTGAACGGTGCAGCAGAATCAACCCCAGGTTTGAAGTGCAACTGGGACTTCAATTCCAACTTTACCAGTTAAAGCTTCTATAGGTGACCCTAAGCAAGCCCCTCTCCTTCTGTAAACCCAGCTTCATCATATATAAAATGAGGAATTTGAATAAATGGATCTCTGATGTCTTTTTAAACTGAGCTTTCTGTAATGCTAGCATTGGTTATTCTCTTCTCTTTTCTAAAAAATGGCACTTCGGTTCCTTGAGCTAGAACAAAGACATGTTTGGTCTCCGCTGGTACAGGCTCCTTGAAAATATCCCTCAGATAAACTTGCCAAAACATCGACAGTAGATATGAGAATTAAAACCCTGACTTAACCCAGAGAGCTTGAGGTAGTACAATACAGAGGTTAAAAGTGTGGTCTTTAAATCTAAGCAGACCTGAGTTGGAATACTAGCTCCATCACCTATTATAAGTAAGGCTCCACCATCTTCTCTTCGGAACTTCATTTTACTCATCTATAGAACAGGAATAACATTAGGATCCACCTAATAGGATTTATGAGGATTCAGTGGACCTGTAAAGTACTTGTCACAGTTCCTGGCAGAAGAGATAAAACACACTAGGATGGTTTTGGAAACTCTTCTTGGAAGTACCAGATGGAGGGGGAAGGAGATGACAGTAAACTGAGACTTGGATAACAACTCAGGGGTATGGTATTAGTCTCCTGTGACCACAGTAACAAATTATAATTACCATAAACTTGATGATTTAAAACAACAGAAATGTATTCTCCCAGAGTTCTGGAGGCCAGAAGTCTGAAATTAGTTTCAGTGAGCCAAAATCAAGATATTAGCAGAGCCACACTCCCCCTGGAGCCTCTAGAGAAGAATCTGCTGCTTGCCTCTCCAGCTTCTCCGGGAGAAGAGAATGTTACTGGCATTCCTGGCTTGTATCACTCTAATTTCTGCCTCTACATTCACACTGTCTCCTCCTCTGTGGATCTGTATCATATCTCCCTCTGCCTCTCTCTGCCTTTCTAGGACACTTGTGACTGCATTTGGGGCTGATCTAGATGATATAGTGTAATCTCCCATCTCAAGATCCTTTTCTTGATCACATTTGCAAAGACCCTTTTTCCACATCCAAATAGGGCATACTTACAGATTCCAGGAACTAGGACCTAACTGGGCCTCACTGGTGGTTCAGATGGTAAGGAAACCACCTATAATGCTGGAGACCTGAGTTCGATCCCTGGTTTGGGAAGATCCACTGGAGAAGGGAATGGCTACCTACTCCAATATTCTTGTCTGGAGAATTCCATGGACAGAGGAGCCTGGTGGGCTACGATCCATGTGATTGCAGAATCAGACACAACTGAGTGACTAACACACACACAAGACCTAATTTACCTTTAGGGAACCACTATTTTTTTTTTAAGCCTAGCACAGGTATTAAGCATTTTTCAGGTCTGAGCTCTTTCATGCTATGAAACTTGCCCAGGCCTAATTGTTCTTCTCCATATAAGTCCTGTAGCTTATCTTGTCTCCATTCAAAACTCTAGTGTGATTAAGTGTTCGCAGGGAGAGTAGAGTCAGGTTAACTGGATTTGGTAATGATGGGTCTCTATTTATTAGCAAGATTCAAATATTCATAATTTTTCTTTGTTTTTTTCTTTTTTTATAATGTAGATCTTTTTTAAAAAATGTATTTGGCCTTAATGGCAGCACATGGGATCTTCACTGTGACATGCAGGATCTTACATTGTGGCCCATGGCTTAGTCGCCCCACTGCATGTAGGATCTTAGCTTCCAGGAATGGAAGCTGCATCCCCTGCATTGGAAGGCAGATTCTTAACCACTAGACCATCAGGGAAGTCCCTGTTTTCTTTTTCTTAGCTTGATGAAAACATATGTTTCCACATTGTCAGAGCAAATACGATCATGACTTTTATTTTCACAATTTATATGGTGGATTTCATGGTTGTTCATGAGAAAAAAAAACTTTTTTTTTAAACCTTCTGGAAAGTATTAGGTCTCTTTATTCCTGGCTTTACCTCTCACTCCATGGTTATCATACGAGATTCTAAAAGGTTGTAGTCCACCAGAGAAATGTCAGTCTTGAATACTTACTCATGAAAACTCAGAGTAACCTTAATTTCTTGATTCAAAATCTGGAAATTGATAATGCTGTAAAGAATATCTGGGGAGGAAATGGAAGAGTGGTGAAAATCCTATAGAAGTGATCAGAACATATTGATTTCTTAATATATATTCTCTTTTCTCCACTACCTTATTCCTCTTTTTTTAAAGTGGGGCTGTATTAATTAGTCCTATTTATTGAGCATCTGCCCCTAACAATCCAAGGTGTTATAGGCAATAATTTCTGCCCTCAAGAACCTGAAGCATAGTGCTGGGCATACAATGAAGATGATAAGGTAGTCAAGCCATAGACCT